TGACCTAGGGACCTGGGGACTGCTACGCAGAGAGAACCACAAAGCATCCTCGTACTGCAGGAACCTGACGCAGGTCCTCACGCTTCCATCGGCATGAGCAGCACCCATCCCGAGCATCCTATAGCAAGTCATACTTTCTGATCTGTTTGCTGTATGAACTTCCCTGGGTTTCTTGGTCACCTCTGCGAAGGTTCTCGGCCCCCGGAATGTGCATCTATTGCCCATGTGATAGGTGGGGGTCAGATGCTCAGAACTGCGAGAAATTACCTTGTGTCTCCAGGAAACAGTAATCTCAACACCTGCACCTGGACCAGTATTCCTGTTTTGACAGATTATGTTAAAAAAATAGTAAGGTAGGATGTGCCGTAAGTCCTCCTTTGTTCTCTTCTGGGAAAGCCGTATGAAAACAGTTACAAAGAAGGCTGGCCACTTCTGCGTGGTTAAAAAAGGCAGGAGGTGAGGGAAAGCTTGTCTTACCACCTCCTGCCTGCAGCATGTGTTCAGAGTTTAGTGTCCGTTCTTGTTTTAACTCACCCTGATGTGTGAATGTTTCTCTCCTTAAATTAGTGGTAAAGACCCCAGATTGAAAAGGTCATGGGGAGTCAGTCACCTAGGAAGTAGGTGACGAGTCAGGTGACTGAAAGTGGAGGTGGCCTTGAATTGGAGGTACAGTTTCTAGGAGGGGATTCTAGCGGAGGGGCTTTAATTCTGGGAAGACGAGTCCACCGTTGTAAGGTCTTCCTGTTTTCAAGAGAAGCTGGAAATGTAGAATTTTTATGTGACATTCTTCAATTAAAAATGAATATCCTTATTTCCATTGTAGCCTTAAAATATTTGATCTTGAATTTGTATGCTAATGAGAATTTCTTAGGTAGAAAGACTTAAAGGAAAAACAAATTTCCTCCAGAGCTTGGTTAAGCTAATTAAAGCTGCATAATATCTTAAGGCTGAGTAATAAATAAACGAAATTTTAACTTATTTTTAACTAAAAAGAATAAAAATTGATGTTCACAAAGTAATAGGGTGGACTTTGAAAGTCATTATCTTCATCTCTTAGTTGCTTACTACATGTGTAATTTTGGGCAAGTTTTATTAAAGTCTCGCTGAGTGTCAGCTTTCTCGTTTTTCATTGGGATATCAATAGCACCAACATCAAAGGATTCTGGAGAGAATTAAACAAGATAATGTAAATAAAACAAAATAGTTCTTGGCTCATAATAAGGCCTGCAGTGCTCTCCGAGGGGGCAGAAAGGGTAATGGGTTGCGGTTTTGATTATGAAAGCACATTTTCAGAATTTTCTGCAATTCATAGACTTTTAAAAAAACGGCACGATGCTAATCAATTTTTTGTTTGTCTGGTAATCTTATTCTTTACCTCCCTGGGTTTGTAGCTTTGTAATCCCGCAGTGCAGCAGTTAAGGAACTGTTCCCCCTTTCCCCTCCGGATGGCCCCTGCCCGCAGTTTCACTGCGTAGAAAGTGCGGTGCGGGGAGGGAGGAGGGCCAGCGTCCTCCCACAGCTGCCCCTCCCTGGCACAGCGCATGCACATAAACTATGGTGCCCTCTGTGGGTTTGCTCTCCCTCCAGATCTTCATGGAAAGGTACCTTGTGAGGCCTGAAGATGAACAAATAAGGTTGAGCGCCCCCTTCCCTTGTCTGGTTTCCCTTTTCAAGTAGGCTGTGACATCCTTTGTGCTTTTTACCTGCCAGGATAATAGTCTCTTCTATAAGAAAGCACTTGACTTTGAAAATCATTGTTAATTTGCTGCTGTGCAGGGCTGTTTGGCTTTGGGAAATTGCCAGTGTTATCAGTTTTTCAATTTTAATCTCATTGTTCAAAAGCAGGTATTGTGACTTATAATGGCTTGGTGGTCACGTTGTACCTTTAAATCTGGGGCTATTTACTTGAATTTTAATAGAAATAGAATATTTATCTCTTCTGGGAACATGTGATTGCCAGCAATGCACTGAAGTACCAGTGGGAAAAGTTTCTGTAATTCTTATCTTACATCATTTAATGTCACTAATAGGCAGCATGGAATAGTTGATGCTGGACAGTTCTATTTATTGCCCTCCTCAGAACCTTTAAAATACATCGATCCTAATTAGACTCCCACCTGTGTAAAATTTTATTTCTGCAGATATGCTGTATCATATGGATACCTATGTTTTATACATAAAGAATAAGAGTTTTTTCGTGTGCGCTCCCCTTTCCCCGGAGAAGCACCTTTTGCCCCTTGTTTTAATCTCAGAACCTTGTGTTCTCTCAAATTGTTGGGTACCCTACCGAGCTTCTGTTTAGGTGGGTTATAGCTAATGACCTCTCTCATATTACAAATTAAAGTTGAGAACAATGACAGAATATTTAATACTTTAAAATATTTTATGGAAGAATAACCCATTCCTCCTGCACCAGAATGGTTTAGTGGGAAAAGTGGGCTTGCTGCATATGTTTGCTGTTCTCTTCTAAGTCTGGCTCAATAGCGGGCAGCCAGATTCTCACTGTTGCCTCTACGTTTCATTTGCTACAGAGGAGCACTGGTGTCTACTGTATGTACAGTTGGGAAAGGAAGGAGTGTGTCAGCCACCTTCTCAGATACTAGAGGTTGTTCTTCTCTGGTATTACACTAAAACAGATTGTAGTTTCTTAAGGGGATGCATGCAGTGTAGAAGCTCAAACTATATAAAAACTTTTTGTTCCATTACTTTAAAGTTCATTCATCTTTCACTTTGAGTAGATCTTTTGTCTGTGGATCAGTTTGTACCACTGTACCTTGGTCACCTGGGAAATACTGGTTCATGGGCTTGCACTGCTCTTCCAAATGTTGATACAGTACCAGCTACTCACATGCCATTAACCTCACCGCTGATCCCAGCAGAAAGGAATCGGAGGCACTTGCCAAGACTATTTTTACTTAAATGTTGTCCTTAGCCATAAGTACTGTTAGTTGTTTTTCTTGCGGTGACAGGCTCACTTTGTTCATTTTTGAGATAATGTCTGCCATATACTCAAGTCTGAATAACTAGTTTGCTGGTCTTCTTAGAAATAAAGAACATGTTCCGTAAGAGAGACGACCCAGTCAGCTTACAGCACGAACAGTGCACACGTGCATTTTCTCCCACAGCTACCACACCTCTGCGCTGCAGGAGTGCTTTCTGCCTGCAGCCCAGTTCACCACACAAAACACTAACAAGACGTGTGTTCTGGGTGGAGACTTAAAAAGTTAACTTTACTGTGAGCACATTACACTATGGTGCCTCTGTCAGGATTTGGAGGGTCAGGCTGCTGCGGTTATACACTGTCGCTTTTGTACATGTCACCATAATGGCTGGTTAGCTTAGTGCCAACGCAGTTTGAGCTCCCTGGGTCCGTGGCACACACTCGGAGAGCCGCCGGTGTGGAGCGCGGACTTTGGAGCCAAACTGCCTGTCCGGAGTCCCAGTGCCAGCCAGCCCCTCCCAGCTGTGTACGTGGCCTCAAGCCATTGCCCTGACACCCAAACCTGACAAGCTCACTGTCCTTGAGGGACAGAGGCCCTAAATCAGGAAAATATTTGCTGTTAGCTTTTCTGGCTGATCATTGTTACTACAGACCTGCAGGAGAGGGAGGCACCTAAAGCAGCATGTGTGTACCACAGCAGCAAAGATTGGACCCTGAACTGACTTGCCCTCATGGAGTGAGGATAAAATCCCAGATTGTGTTCTCAGGCTAAAGGTCTAGATATCCTCAACAATTGTATGGCATTTGTTTAGAGGGATATGATAAACACGCTGCTTTGTTTCGTAATCCAGTCAAGTGTGTTACTGCTCTTGGTTCTGAAATCCGCAGGACATCCCTGCACCCCACACCAGTCTGTTCTGACAGAACAGATGATTGTGGTGGACAGGGTTATGGTGAGTTGAATGAAGGCTTTCCCTCATCCTTTATCAGGCCAAGGAAACCTCAGTGGCAAAACATGGCCCTCTCATGTTTCAACATTCCTTGAACATAGACTCATCTTAAATGTACACACACCTTCATTTCACCTGGGAACTTGTCAAATAAGAGCTTGTTACGTACCTTCTGTCGTATCGTTCATGCTGAAAGAGCCGCTTGCTTTATGAGGGAAACGGCACGTTGGATTCTTCCATCTGCTCCAATTGATTTTTGCCTTTACATGGTTTCCAAACTGTTCCTCTGTCTGAGATTTTTTAACTTTTAAATAGGAAGTATTGTCTTCGTTCTTAAAATTACAGAAAAGGTGCAGATCAGAAAAGATCATCCTTTGCTTCGCTGTCCTTGACATGCTCTTCTCCGTCCTTTCTGATGATTAATAGATACCCTCTTTGCCCTAATTGTCCACCTGTTGTTTATACACTTCAGGTCGTGCCTGTGCCTTTTTCTGAGTACACCTTAGTTATGCTGTTGAACACTGTCATGGAGAATGAGTGGCTCAAAGGGTGATTTTTTGCAGGGGTCTCAGGGTGAATTGTCAGATTGCTTTCCAACCAGATGGAACCAGCTTCTCATTTTCAACATTTTCGTTCTGCCCACTTCTCTGCAGCTTCACCAGCATTGCTATTATGTTAAATGCTTTTCAAACGGAAGAAATTATACAGGTTTAAACATGAACTTGGACTAAGGTTTAAAAGTTTAAAAATTAATAGTATAATACAGCAAAACTTGTACATTTCTTATCACTGGGGATTCAAACTGGACTTAACGGGGTTTCCCTTAACATCTGATGGTGTGGAATCTTCCAAACAGGAGCCTTTCTCTGTCAGCTCTTTTTACTTTCTGAGCTAGTCCAGACCTGCTTGTGTGCAGTGGGTCAGTGATGCAAGCTCTGTTTGTGTCCTTTAGTTTTTGTGTCTTTCTGTATCTTAGCCCCCAGTCTTGACAGCTACATAGAGAGTTTATAGGGGAGTGTATGTGGGGTTTTCTTTATCATATAAAGCAAACGTGGGTAATGTATGATTGCAGTGTGTGACTTCTTTTGTTAATTCTTTGTAAATTTCAGGTGTGCAACAGAGGAACATGGCTCAAGAAACTAATCACAGCCAAGTGCCTATGCTTTGTTCCACTGGCTGCGGATTTTATGGAAACCCTCGTACAAACGGCATGTGTTCAGTGTGCTACAAAGAACATCTTCAACGACAGAATAGTAGTAATGATAGAATAAGCCCACCTGGTAAGTAATCTGGCCAAAGCACCGTTCAGCAGGGAGATGCACCTGGGTCACACCGTGAACCCAACACCCTTCCTGCCCTGACATTGCACTTCACTGTACTAAGTTCAGATCAGGAAAATGTTTCGTTACCTACTGTGGTTATCAGTGGTAGGGAAACAGGGATACGGGTATTTTTCCCATTGAAAATAACTACCATAAATCCATTTCCCAGTCTTACTTGCGGTGCTACAAAACTCCATTATCTTATTAAAGTAAAGGTGTACTTCCAGTACACTGACCTCCCTTGGAAAGTAAGGTTAGGGAACAAGGGTGACAGGGGGCCCTGGTTCTTTGGTCGTGGATGACTTCTGCAGTCAGAACAGCTGTAGAAGGAAAGAGTGGCTGATGAACAGCCACAGCTGGCTTTGCAGGAAGTGTTCCCCACCAGGACGGAGGGGCAGAGCAGTGTGACTCAGAGTAAGGAGTGTCCACCCCAGTCACCGGAGTTCTCTGGCTTTGCGAGTCAAAGGAGTCTCCTGGAATTGAGGCGGGCTTTCAAAGTGTCCGCAGTCGAGTAAGAAGGGTCGTGAGGATTGCGAGTGTAAGCTTTGCGAAAAGAAGGTGTAACTAGTCCTCGTTTGGGATGGTGCTCATGTAAGGTAGTGCCTAGGAACATAGGTTTCTGCGGGTGATGAACACGCAGGCCGATACTTAGTGCATTTAAAATTTTGTATGGAGCCTTTCTTGCCATTGCTTCATGCTCTAGCCAAAAGTTAAAACCATTGAATCAGAACTTCTCCAGTTTTTCTTAAGGCTAAGATCAAATCAATATAAATTACTGTTTCTGAAATCAAATCACAATCTACATATCTGCCTTATGAAGAATAGGGAAAATAGTGTAATCTAATATGCTGAGAACAGATTTTAATTCTGAACTTAGGTTTCCCTTAGTACTTACTAAATTATCTTTTATTGTAAATACCTCGTATCTGCTCTGGTACTTGGAAGCTGTCTGTGAGTTAAAGGGTTTGCTGGCATTCGGGTCTGATAAACGGGACTTTAGTTTATTGTTATACACAGTTTGTATATGGTTTCCTCCTTCATGGTTAAAATAAATGTATTTTCACTGGATAACTATAGTATTAAGGAAACTTTAACTAAAAGAAATAAACCAGCGTATTGTACAGTTAAACAAAGTTCGTACACTACATTTTGTGGAAAACCGATCTCGATTCTTTTAGACAAGGTGTGGGACTGCCCAGAGCGCAGAGTCACTAATGCGAAATGTGGTGCCGTTGCAGCGACCTCCGTCAGTAGTCTGTCCGAGTCCCTACCAGTCCCGTGCACAGACAGCAGCGTCCCGGAGGCGCAGTCCGCGCTAGACTCCATGTCTCCATCTGTGCAGCCAAGGTAGGGGGCGGCCTCGGGTGGGGACGGCACGCCACGGGAGAGAAAGGGACGTGTTCCGTGTGGGCTCAGCCCTATTGGCCAGAACCACATGAGCTGACCTGTCCTGAACTTGTATCTGCCTCATCGTCAGCAATGACTAGTCAGAGTCGGCTGTTTGTTTTTATGTGGAGGGAGGGTCGGGGGGGGGGGTCGTCGTCCTTTAAGTCCCAGATTTCCTTTTCAGGTAGCCTTTCCCTTATTCCTGCCCCTCATGTAATCGAGCCCACCCCTGAATCCCTTTGTACCATGCTGGTTCTTCTCATTACAGTCTTACTCTGCAACTAATATTTCTATTTTTTAAAAGATTGTATTTATTTATTTTTAGAGGGAAAGGGAAGGAGAGAGGGAGAGAAATATCAATGTATAGTTGCCTCTCATGTGTCCCCCACTGGGAACTGGCCTGCAACCCAGGCATGTGCCCTGACTGGGAATGGAACCGCGAACCTTTGGTTCACAGGCCTGCGCTCAATCCACTGAGCTACACCAGCCAGGGCCTAGTATTTATTTTTAAAAATAGTCTTGTCACAAGTTTTCTCTGTTTTATATCATGATATGGTAGTTATTATTTGTGTTGTAGCATATTTTTTCTTTTTAACTTTGAAGTTATGTAATGTAGAAGTCTGAAAATACAGAATATTTGTTTTATTTTTACCCTTCTGTTAGGAAACCAGTACTAAGTTTCTACTCCATAGTTTCTTTATTTTTTACAATTTTAAATTGATTTGAGAGAGAGAGAGAGAGAGGCATTCCTTCGTTGTTACCACTTATTGATGCACTCATTGGTTGATTCTTGCATGTGCCCTGACCTGGGGTCAAACCTGTAACCTTGGTGCATCAGGACAGCCTGCTACCCGGCCGGCTCCATGGTGTTTTTTCCAGTTCATGACGGGGCTGTTCAGTCCCGTTGGTCAGGATACCGTTCACCACTTTGTGTTCGGGTTCCTCGTGCGTGTCCTCATCGTGCCGTCCGTTGGCATTAACTGAACTCACACGCAGAGGATGCGCTGTGCCTTGATTTCCAAAGCGGGACACTTCTGGTCCATATTAGTCCCTAGTTCCGGAACTCTGTGGTTATGTTTAAATTATGAAAAGTATTTTGTGTTACTTGTCTTAACAACCTGCTTGGATATGTTGAACTTTTCCTTGTATCACGTTAGCGACTGTTCATGCATAGAGATGATCTTTTAAAATCTAAATATTTTTGCTTTCTAGTCCTGTATCAAATCAGTCACTTTTATCAGAATCTGTAGCATCTTCCCAAGTGGACAGCACATCTGCGGACAAAGCACTACCTGAAACAGAAGACCTGCAAGGTTTGCATATGAACTAGCATGTCATTTACTTAACGCTTCAGTATCACAGGTCGGGCCCTGTTCTAGGTGCATCTGATTTTTAAATGACCAGCCTCACGTTTTAACATTTTTATGTTTATTTTCTTTATGAGCAGAATATTTTATATCCTGAAATATTTAATTTACTGAACTGTTGGGAACCATTTCCCACTTATATAAAATTGTCTCATCAGCATAAGCTTAGAAACTTCAAAATCTGTTTAGTTTGAGAAATACATTTAAATGAATGAGTGGTCGTGTTACATCATTATCTATTATTATTTCAGCCAGTTTAATCTAAATAGCTCGTCCTCTCCAAGCAAACTGGGGCTGCCGATTTGAGAGGAATCTTGTTTCTTACTCAGGTTTTCTAAGAGACTGTCTCACTTGACTGGCAGTCACCCTCTCTCCCCATCTTGGGCTCCAGCACGACACCACATTCGGTCACTTGCATTTACAGGTGGCGTCTCTTGTTCTTGCTCATGCTCTTACCGCCATCGCGTGGGGCCGGGGGATCCAGGAAGACTGGGACTGGTAGGAAGGCTTTCTTCGAGGGCAGGGAGAGTAGACGAGGCCTTTGCTCAACAACCTGGGCTTCATGAGTTACATCCCACGAGTGCGACCGCGCCCACTGAGGACGGGCGCCCTGCAAAGGCAGGCCCCAGGGCGCGCAGCGCGTTGGTTTGTCTGCAGCATGCGCGGCAGAGAGAGGACCTCCTGGCCGATGGGACCTTCAGCTGTGCATGGTGCTTACGTGGGGATGACAGATACCCTGTCAATCTTAGCTTCGGTTTGCTACAGTGCAAATCAGCTACACCAGCTAATCCCTTGCTTTGATTTCATGCCCACCCAATAATTAGCATAAATCGCCTTTTTGCCAGTTTTGCTATAGTAAGAAAATACATTATGTGGCCAACATTCATATTCTGGTCCACCCAACATAGTATCAGTTCATAAATGTTACAAGTGAATAGTTTGATTTCTAGTTAACTAGAAATGTTTAAGGAAGGGCAGACATAAGGGATATTTTTAAGCAGAAATAGAAAAATTCTCAAGATTTAGTTATCCACTGGGCTTAGGAATAAGACAAGGGAGGTGATAAAGCTCTCAGTTTTGTGGCAGTTGCAATGGTGTGGTTGCTTTAGACAGAGAAGCTGAAAGAAGCATTATGGTTAATAAGATTTTAGATCGAGTAAGTTGAAAGTAATCAAATTTCACAATTTAAAGAGTTCAGTTGGAGGTGGTGGTCAGTTCAGGTGATCAGTGGTAAACGTGTGATCAGTGGCAGGGCTGAGGTTTGGGAACCCTTGGCGCAGGTCGAGAATGAGAGGCTCAGATCAGGAGAAGCAAGTGGGCCCGTGAGAACAGTCATCTGGATGCTCCTGGCTAGTGCCAGACCACAGGGGCTGGGGGCCGTTTCAGGAAGCAGGGGCTGCCTAGCAGTTTTAGCAGAGAGCAAATAAGGAAGAAGGGGCACGGGCTGTGACTCAGGAAGACATCACCTAACTCTGACAACAGAACACACTTTACAGCACTGGTAGGGACAGAACGGCGCTGCCAAAGAAGACAGTGGCCACTGCTGGACGAGTCCGACCAGGAGTGAGGGTTGTAACTTGGTGAACTCTCCCAAGACGAAATGGTTTTGTAGTGTTTGGTGGGTTTGGAGAAAAATAGAGTTTTCTGTACCTAGCCCTGAGCGCATTAATTCAAAAGGTGGTGTCGATGACATAGTAAGAGAAATTGTATGGGGAAGTGGCAGCTAAAATTTTAAAAACTCGTTTTTCTCAGTGGCTTTTAGGTTAAACCAGTATTAACTTTTAAGTATATTTCAAAAATCAGCATTCATAATTTCTGCATAGAAGAATCTTTGAAAAATTTGGTGTGACTTTCATCTGCATTTGAGAGGATTTGTTTTCAATGTGTAAAATCTCTGAGCCTAGTTTTCAAAAATATCTTGCTTATACTGTTGAATTAAGAATGTCTTACTAGAAAACTTGCACACAGGTGTGAATCTATGTATGGACCGCATCTTCATTACACGTAAATGTACTTGAGAGCAACAAAGGCAGATAATTTTTTTCCACCTGTGTGGGAGACAGAAGGAGAAAAGGTCTTTGGCTCAAGGCCACAGTCATCTGAGCTGGGCCTGGAACCCAGGCATATGACTCTAGGTTGCGGAAGCAGCTGTTTTGCTCCCTGGGCTGGGGTGTGGGTGTGTCGCTGATGGCGCGTCCAGCCCCACTCTGTTCCCAGAGTAGGATCGGCTGGTTTGGTGACCTGCCCAGGTATCTGTCTTCCTTATTTTACTCCACGTGCATCCCTCAGGAAAATGTATTTTGCTAGGAAGACTGTCCCAGGTGGAAGAGGGCACATGGGTAGCAACTGTGTGCCTTAGCCAGAATTTCCTAACATTTCTGCCTGGAGTTCTCAGAGCAGTGTCCTTGGAACAGCTTTTTTCTCTGTGGGTTTTCTCCTCATAATTAGGATCTGTTGCCACCAGGTGAGCATTTTGTTCTCATGACTCTGAAAGCTTTTCCTCACATTTAACCCAGAATTTAGCATATTGTATAGCATGTTTCTCATTTAGTTATGTTTTCTTTTAATTTAACAAATAACAGTATCTCACACAGTGTCACTTACAAGAAAAAAAATTTGTAAGTGTTCTGGGGCACTCTAAAATGTCATACTTGATTGTCCTGTTCAACCACATGCTCAACTCTTTGTTGAACCTCTCAGTCCCTCAGGTGCAGGGTCACAGTAAATAGTGAGGGGTTGGATCCGGAGGTTCTGTTGTCTTCAAGTCTCAGCACCCCCACTTCTCTGATCCTTATTTTCATTACCTTTAAAGGAGACTGAGAACTATGTCCACCTTATAGGGTGTTGGAAGGCAGTGAACTAATGGAGGTGAAATGAGCTTTGTAAACTACAAAGGATAGTTTTACTCTGTGATGCCCCAGTGATTTGGGAATCATAGCAGGTTAACAATAAGGGAATCTCGCAGCTTTCCAGTGGTAGAATGAGGCCTCTTCGAGGTGGTGAGCTCTCCATCACTGAAGCATTCTAGGACAGCTGGGTCATTGTCCGGCGTGGAGTGGCAGAGGGGAGTGGAATTCTCCACTCCGAGGGTTCCTGAGTCCAAACAGGCCAATTGTTGAATCAGTGGCTCAGACAATCACAGAGAACTAGTTCCTTGGGACTAATTTAGGAGAGCTGTGAAGATTAAACATGAGATTTATTCAGATTTGAAAGAGTGGGTGCGAACAGCCAAACCCAAACAGCCTAGGAAAAGTAGAACCAGGTTGGTGGAGGGCTGACTACAAGCTACAGTAACCCAGACCTTGAGGTGCCAGCCTGAGGACAGCCACACAGGAACTTGACTGACAGTGTTCAGAGCATTGTTCATAACTGTCACCATGCGGAGACAACCCACATCTGCCATCAGCAGGTGGGTGGACCCAGTGTGGTGTCCACATGCACAAGATTGTCACTCAGTCATCGGAAGGAGTGACGTCCTGGACGCGCTGCAGCAGGGGCACACTTTGAAAACACGCTCAATGAAGAGGCTGGGTGCAGAAGGCTCCTGCTGTGTGACTGCATGCATATGAAGGGCAGGCACAGCAAGGTGGGCTTTTTGCTGGAAAAGTAATTGAGAGCAAAAAGGTACAGGTAGGAAAAGATGAAATTTGAGAAAGGGAGAACAGTAGTTGCTGGAGTGGCCGTTTCAGGCAAGTGTGTGTTGGAACTAAAGCTGGAAAGGTTCTCTCCCCCTCTCCCTCCCTCCTTTCCTTTCTTTGTACAGGACCCAGAGCAGAGTTGCTCCTGAACGTGATGCTGCATGTGGGTAGCGACACTAATTTACCTGACTGGTGCTTTTTGAAGTATATTCAAAGTAGAGGCCAGTAGACTTTGTCTAGTTGCCATTCCCATTAAAATTAAGTCAGTAAGTGCTGGGCAGTGCGTTTCGCAAACGCTGTGCCCTTCAGTGGCCTCCCAAGTGGCGCTTTAGGACCCGTGGCTGGAGCACCAGCAGCCGCCTGTCATTGATCATTAACAAGCAGGCATTCTCCTTCCCGTTCTCATTCCACGACATGAAAAACTGCCTGTTTTTAGGATACTGTTCTTATTTTGGCTTCAGGTTCAGTGAGATTGTGGTCCTTTGGCCTTCAGTCCACTGAAAGGCACTTTTCAGGGATTGAATTATTTCCTTCACATAACAGAGTTTGATCAGGCATGCCTTTGGCCTTAAATCTCACATAGAAACAGAGGAAACAGGTAATTTCTGGGAGTTGGAGACTTTTACAGATGGGCTGACATCTTGCCCGTGAATTCATTTGGTGACTGTTTCATTTCAGGCCACCAGCCACTAGTGTCAGATGAGCCAAGGTTCCCCTAGTCTTATGGAGATATGGGGGGCATTAATGGGCCACACACTGGAGCCCTTGCTTTCAGGCCCACTGTTCCAGAACTTGAAAGGTTGTGTGTTCACTCATTTACAGAGGAGCCACATAGGCACATCTCTAGGTTTCATCCCGTGAAAGGCTTTTGTGGTCTGCGGTAGCATTTGTCCGCCCAGCAGGTGAGTGTCTCATCTCACTTCTCCGTCTCCAGAAACCACCCAGAGTTCGTGTCTTGGTAGGCAAACCAGTTCTGTTAAAGGTGCGATCTTAGGGTGGTGTTGTCACTGCCATTATAAAATATTAGTCGTATCAGCTTATTTCAGTGTGATTGGGAAAACAGATCAGATACTATGATGTACAGAGTTCAAAGACAATAAATAGAGTAGATTCTTTTTGGATTGCAAGGAAAAGCTTTTCTAAACTCTTTGCACACAGCCCGGCCTTATCTAGAACTGTTCTAGGTGCTGAGGAAAAATTGTAAGCAAGACACGTAGCCCTGCCTGCATGGAGCTTACGTTCTAGGGATATCTAGTTACAGAAAATGAAGGGCTTTATGTGTCCATATTCTGTTTCAAAAATACCAGAACTGCCAAAAATAACAGTAGTGTACTTTACTAGAACTGCCTCCCAGAATGCCTGGGTGTCCAGTAATCACATTGTAGGTAAAGAAAGGGACAAGGGCGTGGAAGAAGTATTCCCTATAGAAAGGACAACTTTTACAGAAGCCCAAATATAGAAGAGAGTTCCATATATTCAGGGAAACAACATGTCCTCACTGTGTCTGGAGCATGCAGCATCCAAGAGGCAAGGTGAGAGATGAGGCTGGAAAGGGAAGGATGAGAAAAACCTCGAGGGGCCTGGGGTGGGTGGGGAGTCAAAAAATCTAAACAGTGGAGGGCACCTTGTGAGGTTGTCACTTAAGGCCGCAGTGTGGGCCTCGTGGGTTGAAGAGGGGCTCATTGGCACTACCCGGTGGTGGTCGGGGACTTTTCAGGGTAGTCCGAGGGACTACCCTGCAGCTGCAGAGAACCGAATCACAGCTTTCCTGGAGGACAGGTGCTTGAGCTCAACCTTAAGAAGAAGGAGACAGCCCAGATGAAATGACGGAGACAGAGGTCGGCCTTTTGGACGGGCTGTGGGCAGCTGGGCAGAGGGCCTGCCACAGTGCCATAGATTGAGCAGTAGATTCCAAAAAAGAAGGGCTCACGATGAAATTGGGGAGGTTGAGAACTAGTTCCAAGGCAAGTCGCTATTTCAGAGCCAGGAGTCATGTCTGCGAGGTCATGTTGCAGGTCGCGTCCAGTGACAGCACTCAGGAGGGCCGGAGTAGTTAGTGACAGCAGGGGTCGTTGATCTGAATTGTAGTGCAGCTGGCCTGCGTTTCGCTACTTACATGCATCCATTTACTGTTCTCATTACAAAATTTCATCAGCTTGTCTTGTTTCTAACATTCTAAAGATTTTATGTGAAACATCCTGAAAATTTTAACCATACTTAGTATTCTACTGAATCTTGGTTTCAGCCTGTTTTTCCGAGAAGCCTACTTAGTTCTGATACCAGCAATGCTTAGAAGTTCGCATAGGTCCATTTTCTTACACACTCCCTTAGGATACACAGGAAGTATTTAGGTGTGTGTGCGTATGCCTTGTATTGATCAAATACATAATTGTTGCAAAAATGAGAAAATAGAGACCCTGCAAATGTGTCAGCATGTTTTTTGCACAAGTGCACACATTACATACATATCTGCGTATGTTTCATAAAAAGGGTCATGTTACATAAACCACTCTGTACCTTAAGGTGAGGTTCTTCCCATGAATAAATGAATCCCTCAGTTATCCTCCAACAGATCAGTGGGGGTGGGGGACAGCAACCACCCAGATGTCTCCATGGAATAACTGCATTTCTCCACCTTCCTGTTTTCGTCAGCTTCAGTCTCAGACACGGCACAGCAGCCATCTGAAGAGCAAAGCAAGTCTCTTGAAAAACCAAAACAGAAAAAGAATCGCTGTTTCTTGTGCAGGAAGAAAGTGGGACTGACTGGTAAGGGCTCAATTCAAATGGTTCAAAATTAGGATTGTATTTTAAAATAACACCTATTACTGCCTTCAAGTAAGATTTTTTTCTGTTTTCATAAGAGTTAATACTGGATACGCTTCAGCTTCTGAATTTTCTTAAATAAAAGTAGGTTTAATTATATGCTTAAAAGTGAAATGAATAGTTTTCTTTTTAAAAATCATTTCATCTGAGTTTGAGAGTGTTAGACAAGTTAGGTTGGGGTGCCAGGCGCTTTGAACGGGTGGCGATATGGCTCCTGCCTTCAAGGAGCTGGAGGCTGCGTCAGAGAGGAGTCGGTGCCCAGTGAGCCGCGAGGCGCTTGGTATAAAGGGCTAATCATAGGTTGTGCGGGTTCAGGGAGTTCATACACGTAAGGCAATTAGCCTTGCTCTGTCCCACTCAATCAGTACAGACTGAGTGCTGTTTAAGAGCTGATGGCGCTGTTAATAGCACAGGGAGGAAAGAGGGTTCAAGATACTACTTGGGTATTTAGTACAGGAAGCACATCAAGTGTAGTCGGGGAGACTGGTTTGGGAATTCGGGGAGTGAGTGATTCATGTAAGAGAGGAGGAGAAGAGGCTCATCGAGGAAAGTGTCACGAAGGCAGACTGTGTCAGCTGGGACTTGAAAGATGAGCAGGACTTACAACTGATGGAAACAAGGCCATTTCAGCCAGAAGGGAGACCTTTTGAAGGAAAACGTGGAGATTGGAAAGGACAGGGCACATCCCGGGCAGCAGTGGGGAAGGAGGCGGTGGCAAGGTCAGACCACAGAGACCAGGCTAATGCTGTGGACTGGTCAGTTTGAGGGAAGCAGTTGCAGTAGGGACCATTTATTGTCTACTATGTGCCAGGCATTGTGTTGAGAAAAGAGCAGATAAGATTTTGAGCAGAGTTATGTTTTAAGGAGGTTTCTCTAACTAAGGAATAGGTTGGAGGTAAAGAGGAAAGGAGATTTCTAGTCTGATTATCAAAGATGTTTAAATCTGGCCCATCCAAACATGAAGAAATAACACATTTGAAAATACACATATTTAATATCAAATATAGTCTTTCTAAATCCCAGTATCCCTCAAACTTCATGATTGGAGGGCTGAGACGTACTAATTCTCATCTTGTCCAATCTGTCAGTCTGGGGTTAGTGTTGGTTTCATTTTTCATTCGGCATTAAAAAGTTACAGATATAAAATTAAATAGTTAAAAAATATGGTAAAGGAAGTTTACAGCACATGTCAGTGTTAAAATACTGATTTCTGTGTTCCGTTTCCAATAATTTCATCACACCGTAAAGTCCCATTTGGATGGCAGGACCAGTTTTCTGTAAAGACTGTCCACCTTCCTTATATTTATTTTGGCTTCAACTTTGCACATTTTCCTAAACTAAGTGGCATTTGTTTGAGTGTTTACTATGTGGTAAGTGCTTAATACATTCCTCATTTAATCAGTGCAGGAACTAAAACTACAGTTGCAGACATGGAGGCTCAGAGAGACTTAGGTAGTTTGCGTCTATGTTAGTAAGGAGATTCATGCTTAGGCTCCCTGACTCCAGGCCCCGTGGTCTTAATGACCCAGCCACAGTCCAGTTCACTCTTCCATGGGACATGAGCCAAGGAGAGGAGATCTGGCACGGGTGCCGTGTTACTTGTTAGCAGTTCTGCCAGAGGGGTCATTTCATCTTTCTTAGTTAAGTTTGAAGATTGCCTTCTGACAGCAAGCATATTTGCACATTGTAGTCATTGAATTTGAGAAGTGTTGCACAGTTGCAACGCAGTGAGCTGTTTTCAGTGGGAAGGAGCTGTGGCCATACCATAGGTCAGAACACCGGAGCTCAGGGAAGTGGTTACGATTTGCTCAGGTACGAACCTGGTACAAGGTATGAAGCTATCAGCTCCTGAACTTTGAGAATGTGTAGAATGTTCCTGGTTGCGAAACTGCTTGTTTAGAATGATGGTTTAGATTGTTGCCCTATATACATGATCTGTTTAACATTAATTATTCTAAGGAACTTAATGTTTAGACCTTGCATCCAACTCAGGTATGTGTATTAATCCACTTTCAGGGTTTGAATGCCGGTGTGGAAATGTTTACTGTGGTGTACACCGTTACTCAGATGTACACAATTGCTCTTACAATTACAAAGCCGATGCTGCTGAGAAAATCAGAAAAGAAAATCCAGTAGTTGTTGGTGAAAAGATCCAGAAGATTTGAACTCCTGCTGGAATACAAAATCCTTTGACCATCTGCAAACTAAAAATTGACTTGAGGTTTTTTTTTCCTAGTCATTGGGAATGTAGAGCATTGTATCTTGCATAGACCTTTTAATCATGCATGTCATCGGAAGAATAGATTTTTGTTTTTGTTTTGAAAATGACTCTGAACATTTATTTCCATTGCAGTTTCTGTGGCTAAAAAGACTTAAGTAAACTTTACAAGTATTATCCTTTTAAGATCATTTTAATTTTAGTTGAGTGCAGAGGGCTTTTATAACAAACAGGGAGAAATTTTGGAGGGCTGTGATTTTTCCAGTATTAAACATGCATGCGTTAATCTTGCGGTTTATTTTTTCATTGTGTGTATATATAGCTTTTCTCTGCAGCACGATCTCTCTTTGGATAATGCCCTCTAGGGCGCAGCTAGTTACCAGTAACTGAATGTATCTTAATCACTATGGCTGCTTCTGTTTTTTCATTAACAAAGGTTATACATATGTTAGCACATAGTTTCTTTGCACCCACTATTTATGTCTGAATCATTTGTCACAGGAGAGAGTGTGCTGATGAGATTTTAAGTTTGTGTGTTTTTAATTTTTTTTTTTTTGAGCAAGGGAAAGAAAAGCTGTATGCATTTCATTGCTGACTGCAGGTTTCTTTCAGGTTCATCTGTGTGTACGATATGAAGAATGATCTGAAGTAATTGTGCTGTATTTATGTTTATCCATCAGTCTTTGATTAAATAAAAATGAAAACCTTAACAATCAAGTGGATTGCCTTTTCTCTGTTATTCTTCTGGTAGTCAGTTTTGATTCCGTGTCCTGTAGTTTTCTGCTTCACTAATTTTGTCAGAGAACTCCCGTTCATGTCACATCTGTCTCTGACTAATGTCATAACGATATATCGTGATCTTACACTCCCGTAAGCTGAAGATGTCAGTATGTCTTTCAAGCCAAGACCTTCTGGGAGTATTTCAGACCTTGCTTCCTGGTATATGTAGTCAGTTTGGCTCAAACTCATAAAATTTCAAAAAAAAAGGCCAGGAATTCTGTCACTTAGATGTCATACTTTCTAGCTCTTGGCTGATTCTCTGTTTTGCACTCTGTCACACTGAATCAGTACCTAGGTGAAGCCACTTTTTCTGGTGAGATTAGAGAAATTGAAATAATTCAAACAGCAATTGGAGAATTGTGGAGTGAAAGACCCTCAAAAGGCCATTTGTCCTGTGGTTTCAAACTTACCTGGCAGCCATCCTTTTTTAAACATAAAATATGAAAACAGATGACAACAGAATTTTACAATACAGAGTTCTAGGTTTAAATTTGTTTACTAATCACTCAAATGTTCTATCTTAGTACATAGTGGTGGTTTAGTGTTAAAACCTATAAATGTAATTTAATCACTATAACAGATTAAAATAAGAGAAAATCATTAGGACTATAACAACCAAATCAGATAAAGTATTTAATAGAATTTAGCAGTCATTTATGATTTAAAAACATCATGGTAAATTAGCAATACAAAGGAATTTCCTTAAGCTGATAGTTTCTGTGTAGAACCAAACAAAAAGCAAGCACCTTCTAAAAAGAGGAAACTCATTCCCTTTTAAAGTCAGACACAAGGAAGGGACTGCCCACTATCATTGCTAATATTCAGAATTACATTGCAGATCCTGGCCAGCAGAGTAAATTCACAGCAAAGATCTTCCCTGCTCCATTGTTAACACAATTCAAGACACCGCAACCCCTTCAGCCAGTGAAAAGGATAACAATGAAGCCTATTTGGACAAAGGGAAAGTATTCAAGAGAAAAATGTGGGGAAAGCCTGAAAAATTACCTCTATGTAAACTTCACAAACATGGGAAAGTCCTATGCGTACAAAGGAAATGAACAAAATAACAGAAAAATGTGACAACTGTAGGTTGGTGGGATTATGGGCATTATTTTTTTACATTTATTTTTTAATCATTTTTGTAATGCATATGATCAACACACACCCACTCCCCCAAAAGGAGAAGAACGTAGACTGTTTGCATGTTACTTTTCGATGTTTTATTTCAAAACAACAGCTTTCATGCTTTCAGACACTATATGTAATTAGTGGGTTGGCAAGTCTATTTTAAAACTATGAAATCTTCTCCCTTTAACCATCGTATGCCTATACCCTTTCCCCACATGCACCTTGTGCCCAGAGTTTTTGGGTTTTACATGGCTTTTATCATCTGGGCTCTCATTATTAGCCTGTGTGTATTGGGTGGGAGCTCCTGGTCTGGCATGGAGTGGGGCCCCTTGCCTAGTGCTGGGTTGCTCTCAGTCGGCAGTGTTATACTTAAGTATTTATGGAGCACCTCTTCCTTACCCAGCGTTTCTCTGGGTGTTGACGGGGCTGCAGGCAGCGTCAGGGCCGGTAGGACAAGGGTGAGTCAATAGTCTCGGAGGGCGGGGCTCAAGGGAGCTGGGTCGCTGAGGGGCGTGGTCACTGGGGGGAGTGGTCAGAGGGGGCGGGCCCGCTGGGGGTGGGGCTGGAGCCGGAAGCCTGGTTAGTGGAGGCCTGTCCGTCACGTCAGGAACGCTGAGCTGAGAGCTGGTTCCACAGGAACGCTCCTGCCTGACTGGCCGCCTCACCGAGCCCCGGAGTCCCAAATACCTTTCCAGCCCGTCAGCATGTCGTTCATCCCGGTGGCCGAGAACTCGGACTTCCCCATTCACAACCTGCCCTACGGTGTCTTCTCCACCATAGGCAACGTGAGCTGCGGGTGGGCAGGCCGGCGTCCCCTTCCGCGGGTCCCCTCACCCAGGACCCCCTCTCCCCTCTGCCTTGCCCCCACTGGCCGTCCCAGAGGAACCCGGAGTCACGCTTGAGGAGCCGCGGGCAGCGGGGGCGGCGAGGGACGGTGTTGGGGAAGGTCGCTTGTCTCCTGAGGAGCGGGGCGCGCTCCAGAGGCCCCTGCAGGTTTGTGTGAGGACTAAGTGCAAAGGGAAGTCCTGCGCCCTGGGCCAGTCCCGGTCCTGCGACCCCTCCCCTCAGGCCACCCCGGCCAGGAACCCCAGTGGCTCGTGCTGTTGGAGTCTCAGAGCCCCAGGGCTGGGGGCTCCACGCGCCGGGTTCTCCGCGGGCGTGGGCCGCCTCGCCGGTGGTCCGAAGGAGCCCTTTGGGTGAGAACTGAATTTTCTTTCGCTTCGTTTACCTCAGCGGTTTTCAGCCTGTTCACGTCAGGGCACAATTACTAAAATTCTGCGGCACACCAAAAATACAAATGCCTTTTACTGATCTGACAAAAAAAAAAAAAAGGTATAATTTTTTGATTTCTTCACGTTGGATAGATCTTGTGGTGGCTGTCGTCACTTTGTTATGGGGACCATCTAAGGGAAGAGAGGTCAGTGCCCCTGACTAAACAGAAGGAAATCTGTGAAGAAGGGAAGTATTGACAAATGGGGTGAGACAGACCCCGGGTGGGTTTATTCGTGGTCATCTTGCTTAGATATCTGCTCCCAACTTTAAACACGAACTGGACAACCCCCAGACTCCTCTTTCACCCCATGGTGCTCAGGAAGCATTGGCCACAGGACACTGATGGCAGTCAGCCCCCTTCCTGGAAAGAGAGTTCCCATCCCCCTTGGTGACTGTTGACCCCAAGGGGATCTTTGATTTCCTTGCAGCCAGTGCCAGTGCCTTGGTCAAGAAGAGTCAACTTGGTGTTTCACAACCTAGATGTTGCAAGGACACCAAAGGCTAACATTCCATCTCCATCTCTGAGAGGGAAGAAAATACAATAGGAGGCCAATTAACCTGTTAATCACATGGTTAATCCTATTAACATAGTTAATATTAACTCGTGATCCACCTCTCAGCTAGCGGGACTGCCCTGGGCACTCTCTGACACTTTGTCCTTGTTGCCAGTCCGGCCCTCACTGTTGGTGGAACTACAAATCAATGAGACAGGAACATTGGCGGAAGGCAGGTGGGGAGCTCGGCCTTGGTTTTTCGGCAGGGCTCTGGAATGAATGCCCCTGGGAGTGTAGCTCATGGGCACCTCCCCCTGCTGTTTTCCTGTGAGAATGTGCAGGGGCAGCCACAGGGGACGCCTGGGAGAGACAGCCCCTTCCCAGTGCCCATGGAAGAGAGCTGGGGTGGGGATGCAGCCTCTTTGGCATTCCAGAAGGCCCAGCGCCTTCAGGCCTCCTCTGAAGCTATTGCTGCAGGCAGGTCAGCCCATTGGGTAGCACAGGGAGCTGGGGCTCCATGCTGAGGATCCAGTTCCTCTCTCTCCATAGAGGGCCATGTACAGGAGAACCCATGGGCTCTTTAGTGCACAGACATTTTCGGTAATCAGGCCGAGCCCAGCTGAGGCTTTCTCCTGTGCTAACCATGCCGCCTTCCTCCCAGCCGAGACCAAGGATTGGCGTGGCCATTGGTGACCAGATCTTGGACCTCAGTGTCATTAAGCACCTTTTCACTGGGCCTGTCCTCTCCAAACACCAGGATGTCTTTGATCAGGTAGGACATGGTGACAGGGCTTGTCCTGGATTTCAGCAGCCCTGCAGGCCTATAGCTATGGCCTGGGAGGAAGGGACAGCTGGCCCCACTGCCCTCTGTGTTGTCAGCTTGCAGTACATGTATCTGTGGGAAGGATGTGAGTTTACTTCCCTGGAGATGGTTGGGTGCTTGGATGTGCATCTTCCCATCTTGTAAGTCAAAGAAGCAGAATGGTATTTATTGAGCGCCTCCTGTGTGCTGGGAGTTTTGCATACCACTCTCACCCCATTCCTCACAGCACCCCTCTGGCATAAGAATTGGCATCCTCATTAGATGGGTGAGGAGGTAATCGGAAACAACACATGACTCTCCCTGGTCAGGTGACTACAAGTGTTGGATCTGGGTCTGTAAATCCAGGCTTCAGAATCCACAAGTGCTGTTTCTGCCATGTCTCCCTGGCGGAGAAACGTCTTGTTAACTTATGTGAAGGGGATGTGCTCAGACTTCGATAACCTGCAGACTGGAGCGTGCCTCTATTAGACAGATGCCTTTAACTGCCAGCCAGGCCAAGCTGCACTAGCAGCATCCAGATGGCAGCTCCCAGCCATTGCTGGTCGTGTGCAAGTCAAGTCCATGAGCAGCTGAGTCCCATCAGGAAAGGTGACACCTTTCCCCAACTTGATGACCAGATGACAGAGCTAAGAGTGAAAGTCCTGAGAGTTTCAGTGTCCTGGAGATGATTGTCAGGGCCCTGGAAGGAAGGCCAGCCTCTCCTGTGGACAGGATGGGCCCCGCCCAGCACTTTCCTGTATGTGACCTTCTTTCTCCCTATTTAGCCAGTTCTCAACAGCTTCATGGGCCTGGGTCAGGCCGCCTGGAAGGAGGCGAGAGCTTTCTTGCAGAATTTGCTGTCGGCCACTCAGTCTCAGCTCCGAGATGACACGGAACTTCGGAAGCGGTGAGGGGCATGTGGATTTTGGTGGGTGGGGAGAGAAGAGGACGGTGTGGTAGTCAGGGCCATTCTGAGTCACCACAGCACTGCCTCGGCTGCATTCGGCCCCTGCCCAGGCTACACATAGGTGGGAGGGCTCAGGATGGACCACTCCGCTCAGAGAAGTGGACCAGTGGCAAATTACCCCTTTGCCTCTGGCCCACTTCCTTCCTCATCAGCATCATCCGTGTTCTTGGCTAGTTCCCAAAGTAGGAGCAATTTGGCTCATTTCTTAGAGTGGAACCACAGACCCAAAGAAGAGGCATCTCAGCTTCAGTGGGTAGAGACCCTCCCTGGTGTGGCAGTTCAGCCTGGCTGTGGCCGGTCTGAAGATGCTCCCTGGAGATCAGGAGCAGGGTTCTGGGATGGTATGGGCTGAGTCTGCAGGAAGGCCACCAGAGTAGGGACCTTATTTCACCACGTGCTCGACCCTGAAGCCCCTGGTTCTGTTTCAGTGCGTTCATCTCCCAGGCTTCTGCCACGATGCACCTTCCAGCTGCCATAGGTGAGTCCAGTCTCGTTACTTGGACATGCACAAAATAGCCTAGTGAGCCAGGGTGGCTCAGCGGTGCTTCCTGGTGGGGAGGGTCTCTGGGGCTGTCACCCCTCCCCACCATGGACTCAGGCCATGTTGAAGGCCAGAGCTCTTATTTATTATTTGTTTCTCAGTCAGGAGTTCTGAAATGACTTTTTAGTTCTGAAATTAATTTTTTTAATTTAGTGAGACTAATTTGTATACATTTTCTGCTGAGCTTTGGGGCTGTGAAAATGTGGTGGGTGTGCGCTCAGCAGCACCCCCGCCTGCCACCCCACAGAACGGGATGCAGGGGAAGTTTGTTCTGTTGCTTCCTCCACCTTGTCCCGCTTGTCCCGGTGCTTGGACTGTCCCTTCTCTGTCCTGAGGTGTCTGGGTTCCTGATGGACTCTTTTGTGACTTTCTTCTGCAGGTGACTACACAGACTTCTACTGCTCTCGGCAGCATGCCACAAATGTCGGAATCATGTTCAGGGGCAAGGAGAAGGCACTGATGCCCAATTGGTACGTCCCAGGCCAGAGTCTGATGAGTTCAAAGTCTGTCTTTCCATTTGCAGCAGCATGCTGCCTCAGCAGCTGCCCAGTGCCTGCTGGGTTCAGTGAATCAGTTCAGTGACAAACAGTGATGACCATGATGCGTCTGCAAACAATGGCCTTTGTCCCTGGTCTCTCAGCGCCACTCTGGACCTGCTGGGACCATGGGACAACCTCTGAAGCTCTTTCATCTAGAGAATGGGGGGCCAGGGGTGGAATGAAATCCCCCGAGTCACTAAGATCTTTCCAGAATCACTCATTTGTAAGCAATGTACTGTTGCTCTATGGGCAAGTCCTAGACCCTAGCATTCTTCAATTTACAATTTTGTGACGAATGAAGGTCCTCACAGCTGCCCTGTGCTGTGCATCTCAAAGTGTGGTCAGTTCAAAGTGGGAGTTACATTCTTTTATTTGGCCCTCTCAGTAGTCCCAGGGGGTCGCCAAGGTGATGACTGTTGTTAGCCCATTTCACAGGAGGAAAAACAGGCTCAGAAAAGGGTTGACCCACCTGAGGACCAACAGGCCAGAAGCTGTGCCCTTCATGCTCAGACCGAGGCCACTGCCCCAGTTAAGATCCTTACCCCTTCGTTCCATGTTGTCCTCTGGAGGTGACAGTTATTCAGACACAGTGACACATGCCCACCCCCAGCCAGGTACCCTCAGCACACGCAGCAATTCTCAACTCTCGGTGAGAGTTTCAGATGGGTTGCGCCAGGTGGGGGTGGGGTGGGAATGTGTCCATTTGAACCTGGTTGAAGAAGAGAAGAAGGAGAGAGAGAGCAGAGAGGTTAAGCAGAAAGGCCAAGGTTGCAAGACAAGCTAGGACTGCTGGTGGGCGGATACTCGGGACTCTGGCCGTGGGCAGGCTCCAGCCCAGTGGGCAGCCATAGCCCGTTTCCTTCTGCAGGATTAGACCTTTATCGAGATGCATGGTACAAGGCAGCCTGCAGCTGGGCCTCGCTTATTTAATGTATATAGATTGTAAAGGTAATAAATGAGGTCTGTCCAGAAAGTATCCAGCCACGTGCCATGAAAAATAGAGCCATTTATTGAAGAAGATACGAGAAACATTGTCCATAGGACAATGACACCTTGGTTCCCTTCAAACTAGGCCCCTTGGGACCTCACACAGTTCTCCTAACTGCCATCAGCTGCCCCAGCATACTTTCCTGAGTCTCACTGATGCTCTGAAATCTTTTCCCTTTCAAAGGTCATTTTAGTTTCCAGGAAAGCCAGAAGTCGCAGGGCGCCAAATCTGGGCTCCTGGGGGGCTGAATCACCTGGGTGATTTGGTGTTTCACCATAAAACTGTATGAATTGTGATGCATGAGCGCGCACAGGGTCATGAAGCTGCCCATCACCAGTTGCCCATAGCTGCGGACTTCTGAATCATCCCAATAGTTTCTGTGGAGGAATGTTCAAGCTTAACGCAAAATTTGATGCAGATTCATTGCTGTACTGGCTCAGTTATTTTGAATGCAATGGCCACACAGTATATGTGCTCACTCAATGGTGTGTACCATGCTGACTGAGTAGTACAGTGAAGTTGTCATTATTCACGCATGCACATTCCAGCTCCCTTTCCTTGGCTGCCAGGTTATATCAATGTCATGTGGGCCATTCTCATTGTAGTAACAATGCCGGACTTTTTCCTGACAGAGCTTGTATAAATCACCTTGTACACCCAGGAGATTCAGCCCCGCTAGAGCCCAGATTTGGTGCCCTGTGACTTCTGGCTTTCCCCAGAACTAAAGTTACCTTTGAAAGGGAATAGATTTCAGAGCATCAGTGAGACTCAGAAAAATACAATGGGGCAGCTGATGGCAGTTGGGAGAATTGTATGAGGTCCCAAGGTGCCTAGTTTGAAGGGGACTGAGCTGTCATTGTGCTATGGACAATGTTTCTTGTATTTCCTTCAATAAATGTTTCTGTTTTTCATAGTGCATGGCTGGATCCCTTCTGGATGGACCTCGTATGCACTGTATGGGTTCTCCATTGCTGCTGTAACAAATTCACACAAACTTAGTGCCTTAAAACAATGCAAATAGGTTTTCTTACAGTTCTGGGGGCCAGCAGTCCAAAATTAGTCTCAATCTGCACAAGTCAAGTTTTGTCTCTTTATCTGGTTGATTCCCCTTCACACCACGTCCTCAGGGTTCATCCGTGTCAACACATGTGTCAGAAGTTCCTTCCCATTTAATGCTGAGCAATATTCCATTGTACATATGGAACAAATTTGCATGTCTACTTATTGATGGATGCGTGGAAATACCTTTTGGTCTGTGGGCCATGTACACGTCGACTCCTTTTTCATTCTTAATTTTTAGGCATCTTGAAATGTCTTCTGCAACACGCCAGAGCACTGACACCCTGCACTCTCTTGCCTTCCTTCGTCAGGCTGCACTTGCCGGTGGGCTATCACGGCCGTGCCTCTTCCATCGTGGTGTCGGGCACCCCGATCCGAAGGCCCATGGGGCAGATGAGACCCGATGACTGTAAGTGCCCCGGCGTCCAGGCCCCGGCCTTGTGGCTCTGTGTCCCCACACCGTGAGCGCCCTAGCCTGCCACTCACACCAGCCTCTTGCTCTGCTGTTATTATTGTAGCTAAGCCTCCCGTGTACGGTCCCTGCAAACTGTTGGACATCGAGTTGGAAATGGTAAGCAGGGCCGCAGTGTGTTCTTGGTTATATACCACTATGACAGCAGCATGCTGGATGGTGGGGGAGTATAGGCATACTGATGGTGGGGGGCACTCTTCACGGCAGCACCTGTGGTGTAGCTGAGACCAAGGGAAGCTTTGGGTGTCCACTCACAGCAGGTAGTGGAGAAGAGATGGGACCCCCTCAGAGCCGCAGCTGTGGAAATCTGGGCTGGTTGGAGCTCTCTTGTCTGTGCAGTCCTGCCCGCTGATTTCTTTGGATTCTGTCAGGAGGAAGGACATACATGGGCACTGCCCAGTGGTCCCTCAGGCCCTCCAGCCCTCTTCCCCCTGCTGCGGCGGCGACAGTGTCAGGTGGACCTCAGAGCAGGTGTCCCGGCCCGGACCCAGGGAGCAGGGCGCAGAGCCCGGGTTGGGAGCAGGGTCTCCTCTGGGCAAACAGAGGACTCTGCAGGCAGGCGCTTAGGCAGGGTCGGTCACATCGGGGAGCGGACAGGGCAGGTGGGGAAGAGGCAGGGGAGGCGGGGCACTGGTGATCTGCACTGGGAGGTGGCAAGATTCACTCTGAGTTTGTGTCCTTGGGTTAGATCTTTTTTACCCTGATGGAAAATTTGTGAGGTTTAACCACTGTCACAGAGCAAATAAAACTGTGACTCTGGTTTTGCAAATGTCATAGTCGGTTCTGTGCTGTTGACAGTCATTGTCCCAGTGCTGGCCATGCCTTTCTCCCAAGGCAGGTGGGGGTGAAGGACTGGAGGGCAGGGGGCACCCCGTCAGCTCTTGGTTGTGGTTTGGAGGCAGCTTTTTTGTTGTGCGTGAACACAAACCCCAGTACTCTCATTCTCCGCAAGCTTTGTGTGGCGGTCAGCCCCTGCCATGCAGAAGTATGTGGGTGACAGGGACGGAGTGGAGAGGCTGCAGAGGGTCTCAGGGCTGCTGTGCTCAGTGTGCAGGGGCCGTTCCGGGGCTGTGTGGAGGTCGTGGGCTGGTGCTCACTACCTCCCCAGGGTAGCCGTCCGTCTGCCCAAGTGCAGCCTCTGACTTAGACACACTGTGCTTTGGGTGCCTTGCCCGGTCCCCCTGGGCAGTCCTGGTCTCTGGCTTTGGTTTGGAAATGCCTGACCTTTGCCCTCCAAGCAAGTGACATGGGGCACCAGGGGAGCCCCAGATTCTAATGAGCTTTTTTGTTTGGCAGGCGTTCTTTATAGGCCCTGGGAACAAATTTGGAGAGCCAATCCCCATTTCCAAAGCCCATGAGCACATTTTTGGGATGGTCCTCATGAACGACTGGAGCGGTGAGTATGGGGTGCTGGGCGGCCTAAGGCTGAGGTCAGTGCGCAAGGTCTGCTCTGGGTGGAGACCGGGTGTTTGGGACACTCTCGCAGAAGCCCAGGGTCAGGTGCCAGTCGGAGGCACCTGAGAGTGTGGACTTGGGCCCCGAACAGACTCCTTGGCTCAGAGCCCCAGTGCTGCTGTCCGTCAAACAGGGACAAGGCTGACGTCAGAGCTCCCAGGTGTGAGCGCCGTGTGGGGGCCAGGTCCCGGCCATGTTATCGTCCCCACTGACAGGGGAGGCACTGAGGCGCAGGTAGTTGCTAAGCCAGGATCTCACACCCAGCAGCCCCATTTCCGAGCCTGTCTCAGCGCCTGGGCCACACGCAGGAGGAAGATGTTGCCTAACTAAGCCCAGGGTGTGCTGCTCCTCCGCCCAGTGTGAGGAGCCTGCCTGCCCTTTGGTCATCTTGTTTACTGTGACCTGGCTCAGTGACCTCAAAGGGCCTCTGAGTCCTTGGCATTCAGTGCTGCTGGCCCTTGGTCCTGAGATGGCCTGGTGGGGGCCAGGGTGCCGTGGGGCGGGGGAGGCTCTGCTGGGTGTCTGTGCTGTGGGGTCAAGGGGAGGTGGCAGCCTCGAGACCAGGCCCCGGTCCGCCCGAGTGAGCCCTGCTCGGCCCCTCCTTCTCCCGTAGCTCGAGACATTCAGAAGTGGGAGTACATCCCTCTCGGGCCGTTCCTGGGGAAGAGTTTCGGAACCACCATATCTCCGTGGGTGGTGCCCATGGATGCCCTCATGCCCTTCGTGGTGCCCAACCCAGAGCAGGTGAGCACAGGCAGCTTCTGCAGGAAGCTCCACAGCCCGGCCCTTCTGCTCTGTGGCAGCTCGCCCACCTATCGGGAGTTCTAGGCTGCTGGTGTGCCCATGTGTGACCTCCGCCTTGGGCTTGCCTGACCCCCTGCACAGTTCTTGGGAAAACACACAAGTGGCAGAACCCCCTGAGGCCAGGGGAGCCAGCTGGCTGGCAAGAGAAAAGGTCCTGCCAGTGCCTCAGCATTGCACAACCTCCTGGGTTGCGGGAGAGGTTGGGGGGTGTCAGCTTGTTTTCTGCTCAATGGCGCCCCTGGAGCCCAACTGGTGGAACGCACTTTGGAGCTGGGCAACCACAGGCCCTGGTGCTGGAGCCCAGACATCTATCTGTTCGGGCCTCATCTCCCCTTCTCACCTTCACTCCTTCGCCCCTCACAGTCTAGCCACAGTCCCCTGCCCCCATCACTTCCAGAGGCCTCACCAAGTGCCTGGTCACCTTTGGGCCAACGCCCTGGCCTGTGCCTTCCTCAGGGTGGGTGCCCGGCAGCCCCTACTTTTCCTAGACACTCCCCCTCCTGGGCTTCCGGCATGTGACCTGTCCCAGCTCTCCTGTGTCTCTAGAGCGCTGCTATGCAGCGGTGCCACTCCGTCCTCCACACCTCCCCTGCGCCCCCACCCCCACCTCCCTCTGGGCTCCTGCACCCAGACACCGTCCCGGCCCCACCCACACCCCCTCCAGGCTTGCTCCTCTGTGGGTTCTCAGCGCACGGGTTTTCCCCTCCCTCCGCGCCCGCCCTCCCCAAGCAGCACCTGCACGCAGTCTCCACGCCTCTTCCCACTTCTGAACGTCTTTCTTTAAAACAGCCCCAATTTTAAAACCCAGATAACGTGTTCGGAACAGGAACGTTGCATCCCTGCCGGCGTCCCTGGACACCCAGTTAACCATAAAAAGAAACACATCACTATGAAAACCCAACCGTACTAATTATGTCCTATGCCACTTTCGACTCCAGCAAGGTGCCCTGGGAAAACCCTACTTTTGGCTTATGTGCAGGCTTTCAGGCTCTGCCGTCAGAGCCGCCTCCGCGTAGGGTCCCGCGTTAGCTGGGGCTGCACCTCCGTCAGCTGCACCTGCCTCCGCCATCCCTTCTGCCACGGGCCTTGCTCGTTTCCCATCAGTGGCCCTCCCACTGCCCGCTCTCCCCAGGGCTCGACTCCTGCCTTTCTGGGACATATCTGATTTGACCCCCATACCTGTGACCTGCCGATGCCCCTCCCGCGGCTTCGCGTTTCCTGGTGCCTGGACCACCCTCACCTCTCACTGTCCGGGGAGGTGGTGCTGGGTCCCCGGAGCCCAGCTGCTTCTACCTCAGGTCCTCTGTGCGGGGCAGGGGGCCCTGCCAGTGACCCTCCCTGCTGTTCTCTGCCCTTGCAGGACCCCAAGCCCCTGCCGTACCTCTGCCATGACCAGCCCTACACGTTCGACATCCACCTCTCTGTCACCCTGAAAGGTACTGCCACAGGGCTGGGGGCTGTGTCCTGGGGCTCGGTGGGCACATGTGCCCAAGTGCTATTGCCTGGATGGCTCCTGAGCTGGGTGGGGGGTGGGGGAGACTGTCACCTGCTGCATCCTTAGACACATGGGGGTTCTTTAAAGGGAGGAGGCGGGGAAGGGACACTGGGTCCCCATGCTGTACAGTGGATGTTTAATAAACACTGTTGAAATAAACTGTGAAAGGGCACCGTGCCCATCACTGGACAGGTGGGGACAGTTGGCCCGAGCTGTCCAAAGGGCTCCTGGGGATATGGCAATTGGGATTCACCTTGTACACTAGCACCAGTAGACTCGTGGCTGCCAGGAGTGTTGCGTTAAGAAGGATTCTGAGGGTACACGGGTCCAGGGACGGCGGGGAAGGCAGCGGCGGCTGGGGTGCGTGTCTTTTCCGTTCCTGGACTGCAACGTCTCCCTGGAGGTCTCCCGGCTCCAATAGCCTGCAAGCTTATTGTTTCTTGGCAAAACCATGTTGGACCATGGGGAGCTTAGCCCACAAAATTCACCTCACCAGGTGGCTTTCTTCCTTCCTGAGTAAGAGCTGAGTGTCTTTGTCCATGTTACTTGTCTTTCCAACAGGAGAAGGAATGAGCCAGGCAGCTACCATATGCAAGTCCAACTTCAAGGTAAGCTTGGAAGCTGGGCAGGCTGCTTGTGGGAGGGAGGGAGGAGGGGGTCTCTTCCTGGCAGGATCAGGGGAGTAACATTCATTTGGGGAAAGGATGTGGGTCTCGGGAGCCCCGTGGCCCCAGGGGTAGCAAATCTAAGAAGCTCTGGGCGTCGAGAGGCGCCGGCGGATGCCGCATCTGAGCCTCTGTGGGTGGCACCGGTCCTGGCCCCGCCCCCTACAGCCAGTCCTCCGCCCACGCCCCTTTGGTCCAAGGCCCGGTCCAAGGCCCGTGGCAGCAGGTTGTCTGTGAGGCCTTTGCTCAGGAGAAGCCTCTTCTGGGCTCACGGTGCTCACAGGGCCAAGTGTAACCGTGGACAGAGGAGTGGGCTGAACGCTGAGGCTCCGAGCAGAGGCCAGCCACTCCTGGGGTGTTTCTCGGACAATGTGGGGTGGCACTTAGCAGCGAAGGTTCCCTGGGCGACGCCACAGTAGGACAGCTGTCCTTTCGGAACGGAAGCAGGGAGAGTGGCCGTGGGGAGCCACTGTGCGGGCAGTGCAGGCAGCCCGGCCCCACCGCACCCCTCGCCCGCAGTACATGCACTGGACAATGCTGCAACAGCTCACTCACCACGCTGTCAACGGCTGCAACCTGCGGCCCGGGGACCTCCTGGCCTCCGGAACCATCAGCGGGCCGGTGAGTACCTCGTTGCACTGTGCCTGCCAGGGCTCCCCGCGCTGCTGGGGGTGGGGAGGTGTCGGCTCCCCCTGAGAAGGGGTTCCAGCCCCTGGTGGGTGCGTTTGACACCCCTGTCCTACTCAGCTTCCTCCACATCTGGGTGCAGCAGGGGCTCCCTTTCCGAATTCAGAGCCCAAGAGAGGGTGTAGGAGTGGGAGGCTGTGTTTGTCTGCATGGGGGAGAGTCGGGAAACAGCCAGCAGTGTGGCTGGATCCGCCCAGGATGAGCGGGCCCTGCTGCTGTACCCCCCGCCCCGTGCCTCTCTCAGCCCAGGGGAGAGTCTCAGAACCTCAGAGATGGTGCGTGTGCCAGTCTCTCCCTCAGGGTCCAGCCTCTTATTTCCGGTGGGCAGGGGTCTGGCACTTCCTGAGCCCCAAATAAAGTGGACAGGGGCAGGGTGCAAGCCTGGAGGCCCTGCCGGTCATGGTTCCACCTCGGCAGGGTCCCTGGGGGGACACAGGGCCTACCACCCCTGCCTGGGCCTCCCAGGCTTTGCTGAGCTCTGGCCACGCTGGAGCTGACAGGCTTACTAAGAGGTAGATCCATGCGACTCCTTCTTCCCTGTCCCCTTACGAAGGAGCCAGAAAGCTTTGGCTCCATGTTGGAGCTGTCATGGAGGGGGACGAAGGCCATTGAGCTGGGGAACGGACAGACCAGGAAGTTCCTGCTGGATGGGGATGAAGTCGTCATCACAGGTGAGGACGGGCGGCCCGTGGCCAGGTCTCCTTGGCTGTGTCTCCTTGGCTGTGTCTCCTCGCCTGCAGGCCGCCATCTGCCCTGCTTGGCCCCACTCCGGCATCCCCAGGGCTCTGTCTCCTCACTCGGTCCTGCGCCCCAGCTTGGCGACCACGGGCTTTTAATCTGACTCTCCCCAGACTGGAAGGACCACGGAGGTCCTGCTCTGTCCCCCTTCTCCCTCAGCAGAACGACAAAATAATGCCAGGTTCCCATCATTCTGAACTTGGCAGGGCAGAGACCCTGTGTCCGGGCATCCGCTGTGCCCACTGAAGTAGGGAGGTGGTGGTCAGCTTTGCCCACCGGATGAAGAGGGGAAGTGAGAGGATATAGTCGCGCCCTGCATTCAGGAAGCGGGAGGGGTGGTGTCGATGTACCTCCTGGGCCAGAAGGGCAGATGAGGCACGAATGCCGCAACCTGGCTTCTTGGGCGACCCCTGCCGGACAGCGCATGCAGCACACGCCTCTCTTGCCTGCGTCCCTGCCTCGCTCGGGCTGCTCCCTCTGCCTGGGACACGCTCTCATCCGCCTTCCCTGGGGAACGCCTACCCGCCAGTCCACTCCCAGCTCAGATTCGCCCTCCTTCCTGCCCCGTGTCCCCCACGCCGCGCTCTCAGCGCCTTGTAGGCCTTCTCCTCTAACTCCTGTCCCACCTCGAGGACAGGGACGCCCTCCTCCTCCTCTTCCTCCTGTCTGCCTTTCTTTCCGGTCACTCTTGCTGAAGCGGAATCCAATGATTGACACTAACGCTGGCCGAACACCTGCTCTGTGGGAGAGGACACGCCGGGGGCTTCACGGGACTATCGCACCAAACCCTTGCACACCTGAGTGATCAGGACTGTGACTCCTGCTTGCAGGTGCGGGGGCTGAGCTCAGAGTTCCGGCTAGTCACCCCCTCCCCCTACTTATAACTGTCACAGTAGCTGATATTTGCTGTGCAGTCGCCGAGGACCAGGTGCCGTTTTCAGAATTTTCTGTGTGTTTACCTCACCTTTGCGCCAGTCCTGAGCTGTGCTTATTGTCATTATACCCATTTCACAGATGAGGAGACTGAGTTTCAGAGGGGACGCAGGTCACGGAGCCAGTAGGCAGAGAAGCCAGGATTTGAACCTGGGCATCTTGCTTCGGGCTAATTTGCGGACCTGGGGTTAGAACCCAAGGTCACGTGGAAAGCTGTGGAGCATCCTTGGGCTGTTTCTGAGGGTCCGTGACTCGCGGGCCGGGCCTGGAGTTCCACTGCAGGTGCTCCTGTCGCTCCAATAAGCTTCTAGTCTTCTGCCTGACATGCCCGACTGTCCTTCTGACAGCGCCCTCCTGTGGCAGGTCCAGCTATGTGATGGGCAGCGGCCTGAGGCCTTGGCTCCAGAGATCCCAGCCAGGGGCTTCTTGCTGACCCCTGTCCTCCTCTGTTTCAGGACACTGCCAGGGGGACGGTTACCGCGTCGGCTTTGGCCAGTGTGCTGGGAAAGTGCTGCCCTCTCTCTCACCAGAGTGAGCTTCTCTCTGGTGCCCGGAGCAAAGGGCTGGACCCCCACCCCACCCCGGGGGGCTGGGGGCCCCTCCGTAGGCCGGTCCCTCCTCCAGTCATAAATAAAGCCACCGTGCTCTGTGCCCACACTCAGAGGCCTGCCTCATCATGGAGGGCGACGTCCACCCACTCCTGTTTTTGAATTGATTCGGTGGGTCAAGGTGTGTGCCGCTGCCTTGGGAGACGGCATCCATCTGCTTTCACTAGAGAGGCCGAGGGTCTCTGCATAGTTTTCTGATCCGACACCCCAGGCCTCACATTTTCCCCGGAACTGGGGAGAGAATGGCACCCGGGTCGGGGTTCTCAGAGAAACGGAACCATCGGGGCATGTGCGTATTAGAGGGATCGAGTTCACAGACTTGGCTCACGGGGTTCTGGAGGCTTCCAATCCAAAAGCCACAGGTGGACGGCGGGCTGCAGACCCGGGGAGGAAGCGGTGCCCCAAGACCTGTTGGCAGGGACTCCCAGGGCCAGTGCAGGTCATCCTCCTGCGGTCCGCCCTTGCCACCCCCATTGTGCCCTGGGAGGGTGACCTCTATGGACAACATCACCCAGGGCCACTCCCTCCCCCTTTGGGTTGGGTTGGGGCAGTGGGGGCACAGGCAGAGTGAGGGACGCGGAGGGAAAAGCTGCAGGGTCTATTCTCACTCCTTCCCTGCCTGGCCATGGTTTGGGGGTAGCTGTGTCCCCCTGCGTCCCTCTCCTGGTGGCCCGACAACCCCTGTTGGGTTCTGAAACCACTGTGTCCTTTCCTAAGCAAAGGATGGTGGTGGCCCCTCAGTGTTCTCGGTCCTGGGTTATTCCCCACCCTTAACTGCGACAGTACTTTGGAAACTCATTTTTCCCCCGGTGGCCTGTCAGAGTAGGACCCATTTTGGGGACACAGGGGCTGGCAAGGGAGCTTTGAGCTTCTTCTGGGGGATGGTGGTGGCCCTGCCTTCCAGGGGGGCAGACCGACTGCTTTCTGAGGAAGGGCTTTCAGGTGGCCTCATTTCGCTTCACAGCGGGTGTGTGAAAACTGATGATGGTGACAGTCAGTTGTGTAAAGTAACAGCCACCGTGTCCCTTGAGGCCAGGCGCTGGGACAGGTGGTCATGACTGTGGCTGTGAGCAGGGGCCCTGGCTGGGAGTTCGGTCTGTCAGAATCGGCCCGGGAAGGTGAGGAGAACCAGGGTGCCTGGTCTGTGCGGGGGCTGGGGGGCACCCGGGACCTCGGTTCCTCCCAGCTCAGACCCCGGCTTCTCCTGGGGTGGTGGCATCAGGAAGCGCACTCAGGTTTGCCCGTGTTCTGTCGTTTCATCCTCACGGCGACCTTGAGAGGGAGACGTCCTTGCCCTGTTTTTCTGATGAGCGCACCGGGGCTCAGAGAGGCTGAGTTGTTAGGGGCCGCACAGCAAGGGAGCAGAGGGATTGGGACTTGGGACCAGGTTTGCGGGCTCAGCGCCACGGTTCCTGCCAAAGGGCCACAGATGTAGGTGACGGGTGGGGAGAGGCTGGAAAGGAGAGGGAGGAGGGAGGCCCCAGGAGACTCATTATCAATAGCCTAGTCCTTGCCTCTTCCCCCCAACTGTAGCTCATTTCATTCAAAGCACCCCCATCCTGTCCTTTTCTTCCCACGACGACCTCGTGCACACACACACACACACACACAGCACCAGGCTTCTCCTCCCCCTTTGTGAGATGAGGGAACTGCGGCACTGAGAGGTGCAGTGACTTGCTCACGGCCACACAGCCTTGCAGCGGCCGGCAGGACTAGAACCCAGGTCTCCCCAGCCGGCTGTGGTCATTCACGTTCTGGACCGCGCACTTGGAGGCGTGACTACATCCAATCACTGTGTGTGAGGGAAAAATTACCCAAACAACGAAACGTTTGACCAAAGGACGTGATTATTAAACTGCGACCTTGCCACCTGTTGGGATTCCCTGCAGCCACTCACGGTGACGCCTACGAGGGTGTCTGAGGGAGGGGGATGTCTTCATGCCGTGGCAGGGACGGGGTGACGTCATGCACGTGGTGCGGATCTATTTTAAAAATACGTGTAAAAAAAAAAAAAAAAGGCCGAGAGACTGTTTCGAAGTGGCAGCTCCTGGGAAGTGTTATTTCCTCCCTTTCCTCCTTTTTTTTTTTTTTGTATTTTCCCAAATTTCTAAAATGCACATTTCACCTGCAGCAGGAAAAATAGACCCCTCTCTATTTTTGTTTTAAAAAATAGGGCTGGGAAGCAGCTCCGGCGCCTTCGGTGGGTTTTCTGGGGAGGCACCGGCATCTCCTCCCACCATGGTGCGCCCGCTGGGAGGCGCTTGGGTTCGGGGGCGGAGGGACATCTGTGCTGGGAGCCCCCAGGGCCAGCGACCCTGGCAGTCTGCTTCTCCAGGGCAGGGGTCTCCTCCCAACGAGACTGCCTGGTGTGATGGGGGGCGTCTACGCTGGAGCCAGGGAAGGCCACCGCCCATGTGACTCCCAGACTGGCCACGGCCAGGCCCCCCACAGCACCCCGGGTGTGTCCCTCTGGCACTCTTGTGAGAGCAGGCGAGGCTAAGGCGACTGTTCCCACCCCCGGGGGGCCACGTCCATCCCCCGTGTCTGCGGGGACACAGAGGTGCGTCCGGGCAGCCGCCCCTGCGCCTCAGTCGTCCAGGTGCTGCTCCTCCCAGGTGGAGGTGGGGATGGCGCTGTAAGGGTCCATGATGACCTTGGCGCAGCGGATGATCATGACGATGAGGAAGAGGCAGAGGAAGACGAAGCAGGCCAGGGTCAGCCCTTTGTCCACATCCACGTAGACGGGCTCGGGCGTGGGCTCCTCCATTGCAGGACGGCGGCTGCGGGCTCCTCCTCCGGCGCCAGGCTGGCTGGTACCATCTTCCGCCCCTGCAGAGAGCCAGGCCATGGTACCCACTCGCCCTGGGTGGGGGCAGGGCGCCAACTCCCTCCTTATTTGTCTGTGTCCCTGGAGTGGCAGCTCACTGCCGCCGCTGCCCCGGATCCATCCGCACCACCGCCAGCCCCGAATTCCTGGAGCGCTTAGCTGTACATTGCATTCCACCTCCACTTAGTTATCTGCTCCTCAGGGCAGCCATGGAGGCCAAGTAGGCACCTGTCCAGACTACGGTTTTATAAACATGAAAACCGAGGCCCAGAAAGGGGGCGCGGCTTCCCCAAGGTCCCACACCCCAAACCGCAGGCCTCTGCAGGCTTGCCCCATCTCTGGCGGGAACAGTGCGGATCCATCTCCCCCACCCCCTGGGCAGCTGCAGGAAGACACAGGTGCAGGCTTCTGGTTGGCAGGTCCTGGCACACCTGACACCGCGGGGACCACGCTGTCCCCTCCTCAGGCCTCGCCTCCCTCCTTGCCTATCCCCAGAGGGCACTGACCTGCTGGTCGGAGTGGTCACCTCTTCATAAGGGCCAGGGGGTGGGCTGGCCCCCTGGACGGGGCCGCTGCAGGAGGAAGCGGGGGTGGTGAGACATCACCGCTGGGAGCCCGTGGGAGCAGTGACCTTCCCGTGGAGAGCAGGCACCGGGGCTGGTGTGGCTGAAACACAGCAGGACACAAGGCCAGTTACTGCCCGAGGCATCCGGCCATAGTCGTGACCTGGGCTGGCAGGAGGGACTGGCCTGGGCAGCTTCTCCCCGGGTACCACGGGGGTGACCATTGTGCTTTATTCTAATGCTGCTTTTTCTTTTCCTTCTCTCTTTTAAACGTCATAACTTTAGACAAATCCTGGTAAACCATGAATAACAAAATTCGCCATCCTGACCATTGCTAGCTAAGTGTGCAGGTCAGTGGAATTAGGCGCATCCACCATGTGTAGCCGCCCCCACTGTCTGCCTCCAGGACTGTCTTCATCTGGCAAAACTCAGACTGCATAGTCGCTGGGCGGGGCGCTGAGGGTCGGGGTGGAAAAGGGGAAGGGACTGAGGAGTACCGATTGGTGGTTACAGAAGCGTCACGGGATGTGAAGTACAGCAGAGGGCTATAGTCGGTAATGTAATAACCCTGCGTGGTGCCAGGCGGGTCCTGGAAATATCAGGGGGGGGCCACTCTGTAAAGTATACCATTGTCTAACCACTGTGCTCTACACCTGAAACTCATATCAAATCATATGAGGTCTAAACACTAATGGAAAAACGTTTTTAGCCCTGGCCGGTGTGGCTGAGCTGGCGGGAGTGTCTCCCACACACCAAATGTTGGGGGTTCGATTCCAGTCAGGGTGCGTACAGGAAGCAGCCCATTAGTGTTTCTCTCTCTCATTGATGTCTGTCTGTCTCTCTCTCCTTCCCCCTTCCTCTCTCTCTCAAATCAATAAATATATCATCAGGTAAGGGTAAAAATATATATAATCACTGACCTGGTCAGTGACCCCCTCATGCCATGTCATAGACAAAGAGACTAGAATTCAGGGGGGAGAAGAGGCCTCAGAGCCCCAGAGCAAGGGCACAGCTGACCTTGGAGTGAGCCCCGTGTCTGACCCCAGCCGGGCCTGTGTCTCAGGTCCCGTGACATTGATTCCACGTGGCTCTCGGGGAAGGATGGATGGGCGGCAGTTTCGTGCTGCTGAGTTTCACAGCCAGACTCTGTCTGGCCTCTCAAATCCTGACTCTGAAATCCTGAGCCTGAGAGAGCCTCAGGTTCACAGGGGGTGCCCTGCACGGACTGCAGAGGTCAGACCCAGAGAGACTGCCAGGCGACCCTCCCTCGTCATCCTGGGGCCAGGGTCTGGACCTCTAACCCGGTGGCGGACCGCAGAGGAGGACACCGTGTTTTCCAGATCCTTCCGGCTGCAGGGAATGCCAAGACCGGGCACTCGGAGAGCAGATGCGCCTCCCCGCCCTCCAGATGGCGTGTGGTTGCTAACCTTAACGCTCGGAGCACGAGTCCCATCCAGCTCTGTGTGCAAATGAGGCCGTGACACTCAGGAGGGAACATAGCTGCTGTGCCCTGGGAACTGGGGGGCTAACGTCCCCAGCAGCCAGCCCAGGGGTCCCCAGTACAAGTGCATCGTCCTTCAGCACTGAGGCTGTATAACCACAGGTTCCACCTGCCAGCTCCTTGAGGCGCTGGGGGTGATCTTGCTCCAGGATCAGGGGTGCTGATCCGGGAGAGTGAGTGTTGTGTCCAGGCCGATCTGCCACACTTGTCTAAGTGTGCGGCAGACCCCCGTGGAGGGGGCTGTGAGTTAGCACATGCACACAGGCAGGCTGGGAGCCATGGACTTGCAAGACATGTCATCTGTGACCACGCACACCGGAGTCCCCATCTGCCAGCGCTCTATGTCCTTTCCTCCGCCTCCTCTTCACTCAGGAAGGAGGCTGTGCCAAGTGCCCCTGCCGCTCCCCTTGACCTGCCACCCAGAACAGATGTCAGTCAGCACAGCCAGCAGGGCCCACACTTGGGAGCCTCCCAGGAGGCCTGGCCGTTGGGGACTGTCGTAAGCTTGGTCAATGCCGAGTTAGATTTCTCCAAGGTGTGGTGGAGACACCGTACCACCCAGGGGAGGCCCTTTGCCTCCGGTCACCAGGGGCTGTTCCCTGAACCAGGCCCAGCAGCCCTACTGGGGAGGTGTGGGTGGCCAACCGTGGGTGAGTGCGAGGGGTGAGGGCGGGTGGGACCCTGGAAGGGCAGAGTCCTCACCGGCTGTTTCCGACAGCAGCAGCAAATGTTTTGGACAAGAGGCCAGAGCGGTTCTCTAAGGTGAGATGGGCAGCAACACATGAAGAGAATCCGCACTCTGTAGCGCCATCATCATCCCTCCCTCCCTGCAAAATGCCGGGAATAAAAGCATCTTTGTCCGTCTCCACCTGGGCTTCCCCACCAGTCACCAGCTCCTCCTCCTCCTGGTGATGGGGCCGTCACACCCGGCTCCCCAGCCGGCAGCTCAGACGCAGTGGTAGATATGGAAGAGTGTTACACACAAGTGCAAGGTGTTTGGTGGATGTCTCCAGGGGCAGAGCTGCGGGACATGAGGAGAGATGCCCCAGGCCCTCTGGAGTGAGGAGTCAGGCCTGTTGGAGGAAATCACAGTGGGCCCAGCTCCGCCACCCTGCTGTGTCCCCCATCTTCTGCACAGAGACTGCCCCTCAGCACCTGGCTGAGTTTCACATCCTAGTGGCCAAGAGCGTGGGCGTGAGAAGATCAATCCAGCATGATGTTATTAATTACCCTTCTCTGTGTAGAGTCCTTGAAAGTGTCTGCCTGTTTTCTGCTGAACACAAAGCCGTTCCTCTCAGGCTCTGCTAATGCTGTCCATCTCCCCCACCCCCCCAGCCCAGCACGCAGGGTTGAAACAAATAGACGAGGCCCAGGAATTTATGTGTGTAGCCTCGAGCTCAGGACGGTGGGGAGGACACTGGTGCAGGATGTGTCAAAGTCAACAGAAGCAACAATCATCCCTCCAATCTGGATAAAAAGAACCGTGTGCACGAACAGCCTGACCCAGAGCGGACGGTGGGGGGCTGGGCCCATAGTGGCCTGTCCCTCAGGCCAGCAAGGGGGACTGAATTCTCCTAGAAGGACGTGCAGCACATTCAGAGGCTTCTGTCCCAGGAGAGATGAGGCATCGGACCGGGCGAGCTCTCTCTGGATTCTGTACAACGAAGACGGCTGCAGGGGGACTGGCCAGCAAGGACCCGGTGGCTGTGCACAGTGCTGGCTGCAAGGATGAGTCAGACCCAGACACTGCCCTCTGCGATCCGAGCAAAGGTGACACAGTGACTAGGAATCGTGTCGCTAATTGGTTTCCTGGTGATGCTGATGCTGCTGGTCCGGGATCGTCCCCACAGACAAGGGCAAGGTCGGCCCTGATGCTGTTGGGCACCTACCCCCGCTACGATAGCATCTGTTTCCCAGCCGCCTCCACAGACAGGGACAGCATGCAGGGGTGGGAGGAGGGACTGGAGCCAGTCCTTGGGGTTTGAATCTCAGCCCAACCCCATTGATTGGCAAGGCGCCTTGGGCAAGTGATTTACTCTCTCTGGGTCCCAGTGTCTTCACAGACAAGACAGGGGTGAGTTTTGAGCACCAGGACCATGGAGTCGGAGGGTCAGAGGGGAGACATCGATAAGGCACCGAGAACTGGCCCCCGCAGAGATGGCAGTGCACACGCTGGTGCCGCTGTTCTGCCCCATCCAGGCGAGGACGCGTGGCCAGGCCGCTGGAGGCCTCAGGCCTTGGACGTCGAGGACCTCCAGGCTGTGACTCCCACCTGCCCACCAGGCATGCCGAGGGGTCACTTGTGTGTTGACCTCAAGACCGAAGAGTCGATTCTGGTTATTTGTTCATAAAACAAATAACAGTCATTCGTTTCGTTTATAGATCTGGGTTCACTGGGCTCGGCGGCATGGTATCTCTTGCTAGGAGTTCCAACGTGCAGTTCCAATCAGCTGGTGTCTGGGCCTGAGTCCTCCGGAAGGTTCCTTCACCCACAGGTTTGGTGGCCAACTGGGAACATTCCCTCCGCTGGGGCTGGGACAGACTCCGCCGACCCCTGACTGGTCGGCCCAAGGGTCACAGCCAGTGTCCCAAGAGAGACCAGCAGTGGCCACATGGCCTTTCTTAAGACAGACACGGAAGTCACCAAATGTCACTTCTGCCTCATTTCAGACATTGAGGCAGCCTCAACGGCCCACCGGGTTCAAGGGCAGGGAATACGGACTCCACAGCTCAAGGCCGTGACTGTCAAAGAATTTGGTGCATATTTTAAAACCAACCTGAGGCTCTGTCCCTGAAATCCGCCTGCCTGCTGCTCAGATTGCTCAGAGCCCTCAGCAGCCTCACTCTCTAAGATGTGTTTCCTTGTCCCTCCCGCCCGTCGCCACTGAACCCCACCGCCTCATGTCCGTGATCCGTGTACTGGGCTTCGTTCTCACAGATTCCAATTACACAAGCAAGCGAATGAACAGCACCAGAGAGATACACAGACGGAGAAAGTGCTGGAGGAACAATGAAAATGATGTTATGTACCTGGGAATCCTAGGGACTCATTAGTTCCTTTTTTTAGACTCTTCAGTATTCCCCCGAAACCTCCACGAAGTACATCTACCTATAATTGGAACAATCAGAAAAATTTTTTTTTTCTCAGAACAAGTATATTGAAAACTAGATGTTAAATGTTTCTCGTTCTGAACCAAAATCTTAGTTCCAGCTATTCAGGTATGAAAAGCCTTTGCCCTTCAAAGAGGCACATTGCTGCTCCAAAGTCATTCTATAAAAAGGTGAGAAAAGTATCATAACAGATCTGGGATGAACAGAAATAATCTTTCTGATATGTATGTTGAAACTGGAGCAGTTTGGGTTTTTGTGGTCAAAGGGTCGTGGAGAGAAGATGCGCTGGCGTCAGATGTGGGAGCACAGATTCCCTCCGTGGGCGGGCGTCCCTCTGTGACCCCGGGGCTGCGCCATGAAGACTGAGACTGTGCCGGCCTGGGTAGCGGGGCTTTGGCTCCAGGCAGTGCTGACAGCTGACTGAGTCGTGACTTCCGTGGAAGACGAAATTACAGGGCGAGTGAGCTGCAGATGTTGAGAGATCCGCAGTTTAATTGGAGCCTCATTTCCGAAGCAAGGTCGGTGATTCTCACTCGGCAGACTCGGGGTCCCGGTGCCTCAATCTCCCTTTCAGAGTGGCTTAAAGATGTGTGTCACCATCGGCTCTGTGCCGGGAGGTCAGTTTGGGTCAGGGGTGAGGGGCTGGACTCTCGGCACAGTGAGTGTCCCCTGTGATTCTCAGAGGGTTACTCTGCTTTGCTCATGCCACATGAGGTGTGTTTTCGCTGTCAGAGTCGGATTCCACGCACACGTCTCCGGGCCTGCTGCATGATGAGCACGGTGCAAGTTAACCTCGGGTATTCTCCTCTGTCAGCTCCTCCTAAAATGTAGGAGGTCAGTGTCTGTCTCTCCCTGTGACCCATGGGAAAACTAGCTCAGGGTGGTGCGTAAAGATGAAGGCCAGGGAACTCCGACAGCCAGAGGCCCTCGTGTGCCTGGGGCTCTGTAATTTGTGAGGTTGATTCCCAGATTGTCCCCTGCACTGTCCCCCATCCAGGCCATACTCCACGTACAGGGAGCCCTTTCCCTAAATTGCCCCCCCAACACCTCTGCATCTGAGATGCGTCTGGGAAGAGGGGTAGCGTCCGTCTGGTTGCAGGGTCCACCCTCTGGACTCACAGTTGGGGAACCTGCTCTGAGCTGGGCGAGGGGGCCCTGGGTGGGCGGCGAGCAGAGTGGTACAGGGGCAATCAGTTCCAGACAGTGGCGTGACCCTCGAAATAGTCCCCCCACGCTAACACAGATGCCCATGACCTTTCTGAGGTGTATTCTCAGAAAACAGAGAAACCGGTGAACAAGACGAGGAAGGCTAGGAAAGTGAGTGAGACCTCGCTGGGCCTGTGCATTGGGTAACAGTCACCTCTTTGCTCACATGGGGAGGGGTCTGCCCGGGGCTACCTGGGGAGAGGCAGGATTTTCAAAGGTCAGACTGCAGTGTTTCCCTCTCTCCTGCAGACGGGATGAATGTATTGTGATTGTTTTAACTGGGGCACAGGGAAGGAGAACGCACGCTCTGGCTGCCACCAAACAGTTCTGCCTTGTGCTCAGTGCCGATGGAACCCAGGTCCTGGCCAGAACGTGGAGTCCAGAACATGGAGTCCAGAATGTGCACTTGTCCATCTGTCGGCCCCGGGAAGAAGAACACCCCTCCCAAACGTGAACTATTAGGAGGAGACGGGATCAGACTGTCTCCAAGACGAGGGTGATTGATCTGGGAAGCTGAGCGGTCCCGCTGGTGACGGAGGTTCAGATGGCAAGTCCCTCCTCGCCCTCCAGGGACCTAGGACTTAGAGGAGAGGCCTGGGGAAAGGGGGGGCATCACGTTACTCTCACGGCTTAAAACTCCTCAATGTCTGCCCGTTGCCTGCAGGCACCAACTAAAGGACATTTCATGAGCCAACACACCAGGCAGTTGTTGAGAAGGACAGTGAGACCTCACTCTGGCTCTGTGGGGAAGAAGGCCATGATGCATTAGCCAGGTCTTCTCTGGGCAAGGGAGGGAGGCCTGGCAGACGTGCGCCATCCATTTGGAGTCTTCTCGGGCCCAGGGGGCTCCTCTGAGCCAAGGATCAGTCAGTGTAGGCAGAGGGAGCTGGATACGAGGAGAAGGGCCACACGGCTCCAGGCCACTTGTTGGCTATCAGTGCCAGCTGCTGGATGACAAAGAGATGTCATCATGCCCGCCACCTGTGGTCCACTTGTCACAGCCACCAGGGCATGAAAAGCCATGTCCGTGGAAAGAACATCGTATTTCAACCCCTGGTGTTCGCCATGGGCCTGCTGGCGCGGTTCCTTCTCTCTGACCCTGCTGTGGTCTCTGGAGGGAACGCGGGGTTCCTTCCCCTCACGCCGCCCCAAGGACAGGAGGGAAATGCCACCTGGCGTCCCTGGGCTTCTGGGAGCCTGGCCTCCGTCCCAGGGGCACAAATGCCTCTGAGGATGCAGAGTGCAGTCCTGGGTGGCGTCCCCAGGGGGCTGCCCTACTTTGTGTGAAGACAGAGATGTAGTACAGAGTAGAATAACATTTGAAAATACTATAAACATCAAAACTGAGTAATTAGAGAATTAAAAATGTTAAAAACTCCCTCAAGCACAGAGTATCATCTGTACACTGAGCATGAAATGCGTGCTTTGAGGCCCGTCATTCGCTGAGACCCCAGGGTCACATTCCTGCCTGTCATGGGCACAGCGAGTGGACAGGATGGGAGGAGAGAGGCTCAAGGCCAAAGCTATTGCCACCTGTTATCTCCTGTCCAGGACATGGTCCTTCTGTGTGTCCCCTGAAATAAGTTTCCCAGGGGCCCCACCTGGAGGGCTGGCAGTGTCATCGTCCCCAACGGTACAGCAGGCACCCTCCAGGAATACACAAAGAAAATCTGTCCCCGGTGCAAACAGGAGCAGACCACGGAGCGGGAGGTGTAGCAGGACTGCGAAACACCTGCTGCGTGCTCTCTCCTATACATCACGAGCTGTGATTTCCACAGCAGCCCGGCTAAGGAGGCGATAATTCTCCCCAAGTTTGTAAACGTGAAACCTGAGTCTCAGAGGGAGGCCCAGGCTCCCAAGCAGCAACCGACTGCAGAGACCGGTTACAGAGGGACCACCCACTCCCAGGCCCCAGATGGGAATGATGTCACGCAATCTCACCCTCACAAGGTGGAGCTGGTGATCAGTCTGAGCACGGAGTCTAAGCCAGGGTGTGCTTCCCCGGGCAGCTTCAGGGGCCAGGTGTGGTGCCAGTTTGCAGTACCTCAGCTCTCCCACCTTGAACTAACGGGGGCGGGGGGTGGGGGTTCAAGGTGCTCCTCATCAGGGAAATGGGGCTAAGAATCGTCACTCTGGGAATTATGTAGGTACCTAAAATGTTTGGCATATAATAAGTGCTTCGTAAATGAGAGCTCTGAAGCCCCAAAGGGCAGCTCATTCAGGTCACCTGCCCAGTGGCAGAGCCAGGAACAAATGCTGACCCTGCCGGCTGCAAACCCTGGGGTCCTGCTGGGCTCTGGACATGAGATAACCAACACCCGGGGCCCGTCCTGTGTTGTCGGGAAATGCCCCTGTTCCCTTCGGCCAGCTCACCGACTGTGATGCGCTTGAGGAACAGCTCCTCCCAGAACAGCTCCAGTGTTTGGAAATGGTGTCACTCCTAATGTCTTAACATGAACTCCGTTATGTTTTAAAAAAATGCTGCCATGGACCATTTCCACGGCGTTGAATGCCAAGACTCAGTGCGTTGTGGCCTTTCTTCCCATCAGAGCTTGTTAGAAGCAACTGACCTCAGAGTCTTGGAACGGTGTCAATTTTATAAGCGCTGTTCTTTCTATTGTGGCCAGACAGGATGATTTAAGGACATTTTCCTTGATATCATCTCACTTTCCACTTAAATCATGGAAACAGTGTCTCGTTTCAATAATACCGTATGCAAAGCCACCTTAGGACTGCAGGTTTTGACTCCGAGCTGTGGCAGCGTGGCCTGAGAGTGTAAATATTTGTCGGGCAAAGATTAGCAAAGCAGTACATTCAGAATGGCTGCCTCTCCCAGGAACTCAGTAAAGAAATAAACTGGGAAGATATGGGTTTCTCTAAATCATAACTTATACGCTGTCACTGAGCTTCTTCTAGCTGAAATATTTGGGGGGGGACTAATGAAGCTTCATACTATTATTCTATAAACCCTTATTTCACCATAATCATGTTTATTTTAAATTTATATTTCAGATACGTAATAGCTAGAAATGTGCTATAATTTTCCAGACTCATTTGAGTTTCGAACACACTAAATTTCATGCATTCATTACTGGCGTGTTGTTCAGAAATAAGAAACGCGACTGGAAACAGTGATGGGGAAATTAATCGTTCGGAACCAGAATAGATGAAGGCAGAGATCACACAGAGTAAACGAACAGCCTGCCCCTGATAAATGTGGATAAATGTGAGGTCATTGGATTCAGAATGGTTTTCCAAAGGTGAGTTTTTGCTTGCACCGTTTTCTTCCTGATGTGTCCTCAAAGCTGGTGTGTAGCTCACGCTGAGCCATCCCTGAAAATGTGGCCCTGGCCCTAATCCAATTTATAAATCACATCGAAGGCCTCCGATGTTCGGCTTTATGATGTGCTAAGCCCACTTTGCAGGTTTGCAAAGACCAGAGCTCAAGTTATCGCGGTTTGGGTCAAGAGGCGGCTTAAGGAGGGGAGCTGGGGGCATCCAAGGTACAGCAGCCTTACCAAACATCTCCTGAGAAGGTGCATCACCGTGGTCTTTCCCTTTCCCAACTTTCCCCTCGGCAGTACAGACTCGGATAAAATTCAGTTCTCCAGTACATTCCCCAGAATATCACCCATTCTCCACTTCTCCACTGATGGAGGATGAAATATTTGAAAGGCGAATTGGGCTTTCCGTCACAGATCAGAACAGAAATCCAGCTGAGACCCGACATTTAGAAAGGCTGCCATGAACAGAACTTTTCCCAGAAGTTACATCAATGCTGACCTTCAGCGGCTACACGGAGAGACATTGGTTCTGCGTTCACTGTCAGCCACAGGAAGGAACTGCATTTTAGGCACTGAACTTGACAAGAAGAAATTTCTAACTTTGACTCAGGGACAACTCACGCTGCTCGAAACCCTCCGTGGCAGAGGGGCCTTAGGATCCTCGGATGGGGAGCTGAGGGCTCGGCGGCGTGCCGGTGCCTGAGCACAGTGTTCTTCCTGGTGTGGAGACCCGCACCGACAGCACGGCCCGGGCCACTGCAGTCCGAGCCAGTCAGGGCGACAGCGACCTACCGGCCCTCCCCCGCCCCCGAGCGGCAGGACGCGCGCCCCCGAGGAGAGGTTTCGGCTACACCTCAGTGAGCAAACCAGACCCTCTGCTTGCCACCCGGGACCCACTGCGCGCCGAGACAATCCTTGCGCCCCAACCCGCAGGCGCCTGGCGGGTCCTGCATCCTTACCTGGAGAGGCCTGTCCCGTGCGCTGTCGGGGCCCTGGCTGGCTGCGGCACCTCCCGGCCGGGGTCGGCGGGGCGCAGGGGGCGCTGCCAGGCCCGGCTGTGCGCGCGGCAGCCCGGCTGCGGCTGAGTCAGCGCCCCGGCGGAGCGGGCGAGCCCGAAGCAGCCGCCGAGAGGGGGCTCTGAGCGGAGCGGAGGCCGGCCTGGCATTTTAAAGGCGAGGCAGCTGGATGCCGTTCAAGCGGAAACGCAGGAGAAACTTCACCCCCGGCCAGACAGAACGTGGGCTGCGCGGGGTGGGGGCCGGGAGCCCCGGGCAGGCTCAGGGACCAGTCTGGGCGTTCAGGTATTTCACGTATGGAAAAGCAAACACCTCTCCCCGAGCCTCCGCCTGCATTATGCTTAATATCCAGACATTTCCACTAAAGTTAGAATTAAGGCCAGGAGGCCGCTTTGGAAACTCTAGTCAAGGCCAATTAGACTGGAGAAGAAAAAGGTGTGAAAATACAGAAGTTGTACCTCTGCAAAACCAATGTATATATTTGCCTTTTATTTTAATTGGAAGGCAGGAGAAAAATGGTTACTATTTGCATCAGATAGATATACCCAATTAACAGTATCTCTCGCTTGGTGCCCACTTGGAAACGTGGATGAAAAAGTCTCATTCTCACTCATAGCAAAACCATAAATAAATAGGAATATAAACTTATGCGGGAATATGTTTTATCTTGTATAAAATTTCTAGTCTCTCTTGGGGGACTAAAGAGGACCTCAGTGCATGGACAAATGATTCTTATTCTCAAACAAGGAAATAACCACATCGAATGCTCTTTAAATGTAAATTCAATGCAGTCTCTATCAAATTCCAAGTAGAATTATTTTATTTTATTTTACTTTACCTTAATCTTTACTGAGTTTTTTTCCCCATTATCCATTAGTCTCCTTACACCCCCATCCCCCCACCAAGGAGAATTTTTTTTTTATCTTGACACGATGGTTCCAGGTCTTGTGTGGAGGAATAGAGAGAGACAGTCCACAGAATCTTGATGAAGAGACCTCGGGGCCAGTCGCCAGGCTGGGTACAGGAGTGGAAGAACGCACACATGGCCAAGTGCAGTGCAAAAGAATGGAGGGCTTACAGCAAAGGAAGCGTGTTATATGTATTAGTGCGTGTTACTCCTCCCCACCACCCTGTGATGCAAATACTAACGCTGCTGTCGAGGCTAAGGAAGTGGGGGCTCAGGGGCATAACCGTCCCGCCCATGGCCACACAGGGAGAAGTGCGGGGTCAGGGCACTCGGGCATCCTGCCTCAGCATCTGTGCGTCGGCGCTTGGAGCTCTGTCCTGCCGCACTGCCCTTACCACAAAGCGACAGCGATTGCACCAGCATGTCACTGGCCCAGAGAAGACCTCTCAGGGGGTTGGAGTGAGGAGCCCAGAATCACAGGGACACAAGAAACTGTGGTGCTGCAGGCGGCACTTCGAGCTGACGAGACAGATGGCTGTTTCCCAGAAACGATCGTGAAATCACCGAATAGTAATTAGTGGAAGCCGGTTTTCCCACCTACGTACGTCCCCTCAACAAAATAAAGTCCAAATTCATCGATTAATGATTGTAAAAAAGCGAAGCCCCCCAAAATAATCAGATGAATATGGAGATGGATATTTGTCACAAGCCTGGGATTGTGAAGGTCTTTCTAAGTCTATCTCAAAACCACAAAGGAAAAGCCTGACAGATATGATTATTAAAATAGGAATGCATTTACTTAGGGAAAAAAGACACCAGAAACAATTAAAGAATAAATAAGCTGGAAATAAAAATATATATATTCGTTATGTAATTTATAATTATATTTATTTTTTAAAATTCAGGGAGAAAAAAGAAAATCACAGGAGGGAATTTCCATGTCAAGAATCAGTCCTTCATCATAAACAAAGCAACAAACAACAAATGTTGGAGGGGTTGTGGGGAAAAGGGGTCCATAGTTCACTGTTGGTGGGAGTGCAGACTGGTACAACCATTATGGAAAACAGTATGGAATTTTCTCAGAAAAATAAAAATCGACCTGCCTTTTGACCCAGCAATTCCACTGCTGGGATTATATCCTAAGAATCCTAAAACATCAATATCAAAGAACCTATGCACCACAATGTTCATAGCAGCACAATTTACAATAGCCAAGAGTTGGAAGCAACCTAGATGCCCATCAGTAAATGAATGGATCCAAAAATTGTGGTACATATACACAATGGAATTCTATGCTGCAGAGAGAAAGAAGGAGCTACTACCCTTTGCAACAACATGGATGGAACTGGAAAGCATTATGCTGAGTGAAATAAGCCAGGGGTTGAAAGACAAATACCATATGATCTCACCTTTAACAGGAAGCTAAACAACAAAACAAACAAACAAGCAGAAAAAAAAACAAACAAAAAACAAAGACACTGAAATAGAGAACAAGGGATAGTGACCAGAGGGGAGAAGGAAGGGAAGTTAAGGGGAAAATGGGGGAGGGATTTGGAGGAACAAATAGGAAGGACTCAGGGACGAGAACTAAGGGGGGTGGAAATGGGAGGGAGGTGGGGAGCAAGGGGCGGGGGAGGCTGGGATGGGAAAAATAGACAAAAAACTGTACTTGAAAAATAACTAAATAAAATTTAAAAAAATAATTAAAAAAAATAAAAATAAAAATAAAAAAAATAATCAGTCCTTCAGTATTTCGATATTCTAGGCTTTCCCCAAGCTTCTTTCTCCCTCCAGCTCAGATCGCTGGCCTTCAGGTTCCTGCAAGTCTGCGGCCCCTGGGAAATCCCAGGCCCCTGTGTGCGCCTCCAGCCTGCCCTCTAGCTGAGGGAGGAGGGCATTGCACAGAGGCTGCTGAGGATCTGGGCAAGCTCTGGCCATTCTCTCAGGCACCGTTGTTGGGGGTTGAGGGGGCTTTAAAGCCCCCCGGTGTTTCATGAAACATCAATACTGGCCATACTATCTATTTCCTCACCCCATTCTGATGCCATTATACTTTTTTCCATATACTGGCAGCCTTAAAAAAAAAAAGCAATTGGTTTGAACCCTTTGCACAATGAGGGGCCCTAGCAATTTATATTAATCAATCATCAAGTATTCAAATATTCATATAACACCCACTGGGTACAAGCATGAATAAGACATAAATAATGCAAATCAGACATTTCAGTCCTTTAAAAATAATTTCCTACCCAGATGGGCCCTGTTGTTTTCAGTTTTAACAGAACGTTACGACTTGTCATTGGCTGTCATGCTGTTTCTGTTCCCTGTGTGTCACGGCAGCCAGGACGTGTTTAAAGAGCAGGGACAGTTTGCAGTGTCTGTGTGCTGGTGGCCGCCCTGCCCGGGTAGGAGCCTCTGATTCAGTCTCCATCCTTCCGCTCATCCCTCCATCTCTACTTCCTTCTTTCCTTCCTCCCATCCATCTCCCTTTCCATCAAAACAGGGGCCAGGCCATTTCTTCTTGGGCTGTGTGAAGAGTGAGTTTGCTAAGAGATGATCTTATCTAATTCCTGCTGTGGGGCTTGTCCCAGCCTCACCCGATGCTCGATTAGTGGCCACAGGGGGCCTCCCCCTCGGGCGTCTCAACTGCTGCACCCTTTTGCACCACCATCTGAAGTCTGCGTGACTCCCCCCTGCTCACAAAGGCTTACGGATAAGACGCCGTTAGCCTTGGCTGGCTGGAAGAGCAGAGGGAGAATAGTGAACAATCTTCCGGTACCATGCCATGAATTATTGGTGATGGACGACTCCCTGTCACAGTGATTCTGCCGCATGATAGGGAGCAATTGCTGGTGTCAAGTGAGGTGGAGAATGAATGGGAGCTTCCCTCAACTTTCTCCTATGCTTTCAACTTTGGTACTGAGCTCAGCAGAGCTGATGTATGGGAAGCCACGGGAACCATGTCCAAGGCTAGGAGAAGAAGGTTAAATCTGTCAGAAAGACAAACCAAATGGCTTTTGAATTAAACATATAAGCTCCGCGGATGAAAACACACAGCTACGTTGATCTGTGCCGTGGAGTCAGCAGTGGCAACTCCACACTGAAAGTCGTTAAAGGCCGAACACACTGTGCTGCTCTTTGGAGACTATTTCTTTTTTCTTTTTTTGAATTATTTATTTATTTTTATTGATTATGCCATTACAGTTGTTCTATTCCCCCCTTCATTCCCCTCCACCCTACCCCCCCATCCCCACCACTACCCCCTTTAGTTTATGACCATGTGCCTCAAGTTCTTTAGATTCTGTATTTCCCATACTATTCTTGCCCCCCCCATCTATTTTTTATCTACTGTGTATTTTCTGTACCTTCTCCCCCCTTCTCCTCCTCCCACTCCCCTGTTGCTAACCCTCCTTGAGATCTTCATTTCTATGTTTCCACTCCTGATCTAGCTGTCCTTTTAGTTTGCTTTTGTTTTAGGTGTGGTTCTTAATAACTGTGAGTTTGCTGTCCTTTCACTGTTCATCTTTTTTATCTTCTTTTTCTTAGGTAAGTCCCTTTAACATTTCATATAATAAGGGCTTGGTGATGATGAACTAACTCCTTGAATCTGATCTTATGTGAGAAGCACTTTATCTGTCCTTCCATTCTAAATGAAAGTTTTGCTGGATAGAGCAATCTTGGTTGTAGGTCTTTGGATTTCATGACTTGGAATACCTCTTTCCAGTACCTTCTTGCCTGTAAGGTCTGTTTTTGAGAAATCTGCTGACAGTCTGATGGGGACTCCTTTGTAGGTGACTGTCCCCTTAGCTCTTGCTGCTTCTAGGATTCTCTCCTTCATTTTAATCTTGGCTAATGTAATGATGATGTGCCTTTGTGTGTTTCTTCTTGGGTCCAACTTCTTTGGGACTCTCTGAGCTTCCTGGATTTCCTGGAAGTCTATTTCCTTTGCCATCTTGGGGAAATTCTCCTTTATTATTTGTTCAAATAAGTTTTCCACTGGTGGCTGTGCCTTTCCCCCTTCTGGTACCCCTATAATTCGGATGTTGGAGTGTTTAAAGATGTCCTGGAGGTTCCTAAGACTCTCCTCATTTTTTTGAATTCTTGCTTCTTCACTCTTTTCTGTTTGGCCATTATTTGCTTTCTTCTGGTCCACTCCATTGATTTGAGACCCATTTTCCTTTTCATCGCTATTGGTTTCCTGTGCAATTCCATTCATTTCAATTAGTTTCGCCTTCATATGTATATCTAATT